TCATGGCCCCTGGGTCAGGGGTTCTGATGTTAGGGCGGGGCTCTATTTATTATATAATGAAAATGCATTAATGCTTTAAAAATCATCTTCTCTGCTTCTGGGTATTATTTAAACAAACTAAGTACATTGTTATGATAAACAAGGACACCTCTTCCAAAATTGTGAAATTCATGGCCCCAGGGACAGGGGTTCTGGTGCTAGGGTGGGGCTATATAGCTCCTACAGTGAAGGTGAATTATTTCTTTGAAAATCTTCTTCTCTGCCCCTGGGTACCAGGGATCGACATTAACGGTTGTCCGATTGCCCGGGGCAAGTAAATTCTCAGTTCGGGCAAGTGAAATTGTTATGTACTTGTCCGATCGGGCAAGTTAATATTTCTGATAGATCTTTTTTTTTTTATATCTTTCATTAGTTTATAAACAAAACAATAAATTGAACATTTGATTTCTACCAGGCATATGACATTGTTTTGCATTCGTAAATTCCTCAGTAGCGTTTGAAAAATCGGGTTCATTATTCCGTTTTTCTTTCGTGGTAGTTGACAAAAATATGCTTTCCGTCTGACAACTTTCTAAATACATTCTTATTATGAAATAAGATACATAAAATAGTTTATTTATTAACTCACAGAATATAAAGAATAGTTATTCTCGGTGCACGATGTATTCTAATCAGAATATGTAAGCATGGCAACTGTTTCCCCTTTTTCATGGAAAAAAAAATCAAGATTCGCAAAAAGATCGCACAAAAATAAATTTAAAAATATGAATGTTATTTTATGGGAAATATTGCTGCATGGTAGTGTGAGTTTACAAGTATTTTTAAAATGTAAAATGAGCAGCACATCAAATTTTTTCTGGCACTTATCTTGCCAAATATAAAGTAAGATCTCACTTTATTTACAATAAAAAATTAAGATACCGGTTCTCTTCTTTCTAAAGTTTGGGCAACCAAGTTTTGCATTCGGACAAGTCAAAGTTTGAGTTCACTTGCCCGAAGGGCAAGTGAGTCTGAAAGTTAATGTCTATCCCTGGGTACTATTTAAACAAACTAAGTACATTGTTATGATACGCAAGGATGCCTCTTCTAAAATTGTGAATTTCATGGTCCCAGGGTCAAGGGTTCTGGTCAAAAGGTGGGGGGGGGGGGGGGGGGGGGCTCTATTGATTATATAGTGAAAAATCAAAATTTCTTTGAAATTATTCTTTTCTGCTTCTGGTTAAAAAGCAAAGAAGCTAAGTATATAGTTATGATGAGCAAGAGTGCTTCTTCCAGAGTAATGAATTGCATGACCCCTGGGTCAGATGTGCTGGTATAAGGGTGGGGCTGTTGATAATGTAGTGAAAATGCATTAATTCTATTAAATAATCCTGTCTGCTCCTTAATGTTAAGCAGTTAAACAAAGTGATTACTTATGATGAGTAAACTTGAAACTTCTGGTCCCAGGGTGAGAGGCTCTGGTGTTTCTCGGTGGTGAAGGGGGGGGGGGGGGGGGGAGGGGCTCTATTGATAATGTAGTGAATCTGTAGTGAAAATGCATTATTTCTTTAAAAATCTTCTCTGCTCTTGGGCATATCAGAGGCAAAAAGTGTAAAAGTTGTAATAAGGAAGGGTATTTTTACTAGATTTTTGAACATCTGGACCATTTGGTCAGGTGTTCTGGTCCTAGCCAGGGCTCAATTAATTTGCATTCTACTGAGAGGAGTTATTCCCCTTTGCCGTTTTCTTTTGATAATTAATCACTGTAAATAATGTACTTGAAAAATTAATAGAATAAGAGAATTATGCAAGAATTTTTATTGTATAATACAAAAAGTATTTTCTTAGTTTTAATGATCATGTGGACTTGTAAGTAATAGATAAATAAAAATGAGACAAAAATAACTTAAATGTTCATCAAAGACCAAGAGAGGCCAATGTAAGAGATTACAACAAGGAATTAAAATAGTACAAAAGCACTGATATTTTGTTAATATGCTGTATGGTGATAGTGATAAATGGGGAACAGATTAGAACCTAATTTATGAACTGTTAATGAATAGTAGACTAATTATTTTGTTGATCCTGATCACCCTATTTTTTTTGCTTTTGGGCAACAAAGCTTCACCTTTCATTTCATTTTAATACTCTATGGATCCTCTAAATTGTTGTATTATACTCAGGTGACCGTTAAGGCCCTTGGGCCTCTTGTTTTTTTAAATCTTCTGCTCAAGAACAGCAAAGCCTTGTTAAGTCATATTGATATGTAAGCATCCTTAGGAAGTGTAGATTCAAGTTTCTTTAAATCATGAGCCCTAGGGGTAGGGTGGGGCCACAATGGGGGATCAAATTTTTACATAGGAATATATTGGAAAAATCTTTTTCTCAAGAACAGCAAAGTCATATTTAGTCATACTGATATGGAAGCATTCTCCGGTATTGTAGATTCAAGTTTGTTCAAATCATGACCCTCGGGGGTAGGGTGGGGCCACAATAAATGATCAAAGTTTTACATAGAAATAAATAGGGAGAAAAAAATAGGGGAAAAAAATTTTAAAAACTTTTTCTCAAGAACAGCAAAGCCATGTTTAGTCATATTGAAATGGAAGCATTCTCAGGTATTGTAGATTCAGGTTTGCTCAAATGATGACCCATGGGGATAAGGAGGGGCCACAATGAGGGATCAAAGTTTTACATAGGAATATATTGAAAAAATCTTTATCTCAAGAACAGCAAAGCCATGTTTAGTCATACTGATAAGAAAGCATCCTCAGGTAATGTAGATTAAAATCTTTTCAAATGATGACCCCCTTGGGTAGGGAAGGGCCATAATGGGGTATCAAATTTTTACAAAGGAATATATAGGAAAAAATCTTTAAAAATCTTCTGTTCAAGAACAGCAAAGCCATTTGTTAGCTCACCTGAGCCGAAGGCTCAAGTGAGCTTTTCTGATCACATTTTGTCTGTAGTCCGTCTGTCCGTCTGTCTGTCTGTCTGTCTGTCCGTCCGTCTGTAAACTTTTCACATTTTCGACTTCTTCTCAAGAACCACTGGGCCAATTTCAACCAAACTTGCCACAAAGTATCCTTGGGTGAAGGGGATTAAAGTTTGTTCAAATGAAGGGTCACGCCCTCTTTCAAGGGGAGATAATGAAGAATTAGTGAAAAATTAGTAGCATCTTTTAAAAATCTTCTTCTCAAGAACCACAAAGCCAGGGAAGATGAAACTCATGTGGAAGCATCCTCAGGTAGTGTAGATTCAAGTTTGTTCAAATCATGACCCCCGGGGGTAGGGCGGGGCCACAGTGGAGGATCAAAGTTTTACATAGAAATATATAGGAAAAACCTTTAAAAATCTTCTTCTCAAGAACAGCAAAGCCATGATGAGTCATATTTATATGGAAGCATCCTCAGGTAGTGTAGATTCAAGTTTGTTCAAATCATGACCCCCGGGGGTAGGGCGGGGCCACAATGGAGGATCAAAGTTTTACATAGAAATATATAGGAAAAATCTTTAAAAATCTTCTTCTCAATAACAGCAAAGCCATGATTGGTCATATTTATATGGATGCATCCTCAGGTAGTGTAGATTCAAGTTTGTTCAAATCATGACCCCCGGGGGTAGGGTGGGGCCACAATGGAGGATAAAAGTCTGAAATAGAAATATATAGGAAGATATGTTCTGATGAAGAACTGCAAAGCCATGATTAGTCATTTTGATATGGAAGCATCCTCAGGTAGTGTAGATTCAAGTTTGTTAAAATGATGACCCCAGGGGATAGGGATGGGCCATAATGGGGGATCGAAAATTTTACATAGGAACATATAGGAAAATGTCTTCTTAAGAACTGAAAATCATGTTTAGTCATTTTGATATGGAAGCATCCTCAGGTAGTGTAAATTCAATTTTGTTCAAATGATGACCCCCGAGGGTAGGGTGGGGCCCAATAAGGGGATCGAAAGTTTTACATAGGAACATATAGAAAAAAATTTCTTCTCAAGAACAGAAAAGCTATGTTTAGTCATATTGATATGGAAGTATCCTCAGGTAGTGTAGATTCAAGTTTGTTCAAATGATGACCCCTGGGATAGGGAGGAGCCACAATGGGGGATCAAATTTTTACAGAGGAATATATGGGAATTTTTTAAAAAATCTTCTCAAGTACAACAAAGCCATTTGTTAAAACAAATTAAACAAATTATATATTGTTATATATTGACATGGAAGCATCATCAGGTAGTTTAAAATTCAAGCCTCCCCCCCCCCCCCCTGTAAACTTTTCAATACTGAACTGATTTGTGCTTTTTACTAGCCAGTGTGCTCAGGTGAGTGATGTGGCCCAAGAGCCTCTAGTAATTCAAGAAGAGGCATCCCAAATTACATTTATTTTAGATGTGAATTTATTTGAAGTGTTAGATGCTTGCACATTAATTGAGTTACCATTTTATCAGGCTATTACAATGGATTATTGATGAGGATATTCCGGTTGAACTGCGTACAGAGTCAGCCATTGTTCTAGGCAGCCTGGCCAAGGGTACCCCAGAAAACATCAGCTGTCTCGTAGACTCGGGCTGTGTGGCAGTACTACTCAAAGGTTCTTCTAATTTGGTCATTTCTGTTTGAGCAGTGTTGAACTGCCATCAGACAATTTATTTTAACAAAAACTGAATACTCAGTATTGTAATGAGCCCTTAAAATTACTGCATATTACAAAAATTAAAAGAAAAATGATTTCTTGGAAAAAGATACATGATTATAGACGAACTGAGTTCTGTTTTTGTCAGGGGATGGTGGGATTCTTTACTATAATTTTATTTTCCCCATGTTTTCTCTTTTTTCCCATAGCAGTTTTGTGACAAAAAAAATTAATGCGTTATTTTTTTGTTTCACTATAGGATGAGTTGATGCCTAATGTACTAAATATAATTTTCAAGATGCATGTATAAAGCCTTTATTATGTATTTTGCAGGGTTGTCTAGCAATAATATCAAGTTTATTGAAGCCTGCTTACGATGTTTAAGGACCATATTTCTTAGTGAGAATTCTCCATTAGACCAGATTTATCAGGTTTGTAACAATTCATCCTGCCGTGGAATCATTATATTTTGTTGGGATTTAATTTCCATGGGTTTCATGGGTAATACTTCCCACGTACTTAAAATCAAAGCAGTACCTAACAAATATGAATTTGTATACTATATCTTACATAACTATACATTCAACTGTGAAATAACATCTCCCACCAATGTGTGCATATGAAGCAAGGCATAAAATTAAAATGATTCAACAGTACATGTTTATCTCAGATGGAAATGTGAATTCTTTGTTTTGTGATTTGGGACATTTATTTATCTTTTAAATGGATCATGTTTGACTTTTTTACATTATTGTCTCAATCAGGATCCTACAGTAGTTCCCCATCTCATCAACATTCTGTCTAAGTCCCTGTGTACTCAGGAGTGTATCACTACTATATTCAGCAACTGCTGCAAAGTAAGTGTAGTCCTGTACTCTATTGTTTGTACTACATCATCAGTCTGTTGTATATCAACTTTTCATATTTTCCACTTTTAGAACCACTAAATCAGGCTAGGAAAACTTTATTATTAAAAGAAACTTTAGATGTTTCAGTAGAAAAGATTGCAAAAAATGAATGTTTTAAGATGTTCTTTGAAATTTTGATTTAAAAAAATGAAGAACTTCCTGGTGCAAAGCTTGAAAAAATCTTATCACTTTTTTAATGAACTAAATTTACAGATGTAACTTGCTGCTTATTCTTATCCGAGTTAATCTTTATATTCATTGGTTTAATTATGAAATTTTATATTACCAGATATTAATTGAAAACGTATAAGTTCTTCACTTTCAACTAAATTACTAATTTGTATGAATACCGTTATGCTGTAGACAGCGGAGCACCAGAATGCCTTGAGTAGGAATGGTGCCATTGCTGCTTTAGCTCCACTGTTGTGTTCTTCCAGTTACAAGGTACTGTCATCCAGAAATCTATCAGTGTCTAGAGAGTCAATGAATGGAGACAGTTACAAGATACTGTCATCCAGAAATCTATCAGTGTCTAGAGAGTCAGTGAATGGAGACAGTTACAAGATACTGTCATCCAGAAATCTATCAGTGTCTAGAGAGTCTATGAATGGAGACAGTTACAAGATACTGTCATCCAGAAATCTATCAGTGTCTAGAGAGTCTATGAATGGAGACAGTTACAAGGTACTGTCATCCAGAAATCTATCAGTGTCTAGAGAGTCTATGAATGGAGACAGTTACTGTCATCCAGAAATCTATCAGTGTCTAGAGAGTCAATGAATGGAGACAGTTACAAGATACTGTCATCCAGAAATCTATCAGTGTCTAGAGAGTCAATGAATGGAGACAGTTACAAGATACTGTCATCCAGAAATCTGTCAGTGTCTAGAGAGTCAATGAATGGAGACAGTTACAAGATACTGTCATCCAGAAATCTATCAGTGTCTAGAGAGTCTATGAATGGAGACAGTTACAAGGTACTGTCATCCAGAAATCTATCAGTGTCTAGAGAGTCTATGAATGGAGACAGTTACTGTCATCCAGAAATCTATCAGTGTCTAGAGAGTCAATGAATGGAGACAGTTACTGTCACCCAGAAATCTATCAGTGTCTAGAGAGTCAATGAATGGAGACAGTTACAAGATACTGTCATCCAGAAATCTATCAGTGTCTAGAGAGTCTATGAATGGAGACAGTTACAAGGTACTGTCATCCAGAAATCTGTCAGTGTCTAGAGAGTCTATGAATGGAGACAGTTACTGTCATCCAGAAATCTATCAGTGTCTAGAGAGTCTATGAATGGAGACAGTTACAAGATACTGTCATCCAGAAATCTATCAGTGTCTAGAGAGTCAATGAATGGAGACAGTTACAAGATACTGTCATCCAGAAATCTATCAGTGTCTAGAGAGTCTATGAATGGAGACAGTTACAAGATACTGTCATCCAGAAATCTATCAGTGTCTAGATAGTCTATGAATGGAGACAGTTTCAAGATACCCTCATCCAGAAATCTATCAGTGTCTAGAGAGTCTATGAATGGAGACAGTTACAAGGTACTGTCATCCAGAAATCTATCAGTGTCTAGAGAGTCTATGAATGGAGACAGTTACTGTCATCCAGAAATCTATCAGTGTCTAGAGAGTCAATGAATGGAGACAGTTACAAGATACTGTCATCCAGAAATCTGTCAGTGTCTAGAGAGTCTATGAATGGAGACAGTTACAAGATACTGTCATCCAGAAATCTGTCAGTGTCTAGAGAGTCAATGAATGGAGACAGTTACAAGATACTGTCATCCAGAAAGCTATCAGTGTCTAGAGAGTCAGTGAATGGAGACAGTTACAAGATACTGTCATCCAGAAAGCTATCAGTGTCTAGAGAGTCTATGAATGGAGACAGTTACTGTCATCCAGAAATCTATCAGTGTCTAGAGAGTCAATGAATGGAGACAGTTACAAGATACTGTCATCCAGAAAGCTATCAGTGTCTAGAGAGTCAATGAATGGAGACAGTTACAAGATACTTCATCCAGAAAGCTATCAGTGTCTAGAGAGTCAGTGAATGGAGACAGTTACAAGATACTGTCATCCAGAAATCTATCAGTGTCTAGAGAGTCAATGAATGGAGACAGTTACAAGATACTGTCATCCAGAAATCTATCAGTGTCTAGAGAGTCAGTGAATTATGACCTTGGTTACCATTGTATATTTCACACAGTAAATATCATCAGATACATGTATACTCTCACTACTTATGTGTTACTACAAGTACTAAAACTTTGGTTGTAAATCTGCCCAATCAGCAGAAGTTGGTTGATCAAACCGAATTTACACTGCCATTGAACATACAATGTATGATTACCTACATAAAGACAGTGTTAAAAGACTGTTATACAAGCATACTGAATTTAATATTATCATGGTTGTCCTATTTAAAGGTTCAGATGCCAACCCTCAAGTGCTTTGCTGTATTATGTTATGAAAATGAGATGGTGGCCAAAGCTACAGCAACAGGTATCTGTAAACAATTACCTGAAATTTGACTTTGTTTTGATACAAAATATCTTACTGAAGTTTAAGCTCAGTATTCACTATTTTATAATTTAAGGTAAATAATATTTTTCATTAAAGAACAAGGTTCATTTTATGCATAAAATGGCCCTGTAGATATACCAATTTATTGACTAACACTTCATGCTCCATTTTATACATCAAGATAAAGTAGAGACTTAGTGCTTTCATTTCCGATTAAAAATGTTCACCTTAAAGCCAAGGTATTGGAAAACAGGTTTCATGGTATTGCAATATTCTTGAATTTTAAGGAAAACAAGTATATTTGAGTACTTTCACAGAAGAGAAATAATATGAGCGCACCCTCTGATCTAAAAAATAAAACATGTTTTGTAATCCTCGGAAATAGTTTTATCATTTAATAGTTGCATGTTTTAGATCAGAGGCTGCGCTCTACATTAAATATTGAAAAATAGCTTTAAAAATTGGCTGTTTTTGTAGAATCTTTCAGGATATGAGGAAAATGACGCATTTCGTGACGTCATAATGCATTGACTTGGCAGAAAATTACGTCATTTTTGATAGATATACAGTCATCAAAGGTCTAAATGATATATAATGCATTGTCAACTGAAACCAAGTAGTTTCAGTTTTTCGGAAATTCACAGGGCCAAAAAAGGCCCTAAGTGAACCTTGTTCTTTGAATTTTTCTGTAGCTACTTATAATGGAGAGTCCATTCCAAATCTCCTGCTTCGCCTCCTTTCTCGAGACAAACCATCAGAAATGCAGATGGCTGCAGCTAAGTGCATGACTTACCTGTGTAGGGGTGGTGCCATCCCAACCCATTGTCCAACCATTCAAAACAAGGTACACTCAGACAAAAAGAGGCCTCTTAGAATTTCTAAATTTATTGAATTTAAAATGTACCAGGACTTTTCCAATCAAAATTCTAGAGGTTCATTAAAGATTTGATACTGTCTCAGATTACATGTATTTGCAATGTTTGGACATTTAATTGTAATGATAAAGTAGTGAGAAACATTGAGAGAATTGAAATCCATTGCAGACCTTATCCACATTGATTAGGATGTGTAAGAAGGATCGTACGTTAGAGGAGAATGTGGAGGGGGCGGAGACACTGGCCTATCTAATAGAAGAGGATGCTGTTCTACAGTACATAGCCTCGATTTCAGATCATATCATTAAGACACTGGCAGATTATCTCCGCTACACCAGTGTGCAGCAGATCAACACCAGATCAACAAACAGAAAGGTATAAAAAATTAAATTATTCAAATTCAGTTTTTAAGATATCATGTAAACTTGTTTTTAGACCACCTGTATTGTACTTTTCACATTTCAAATATTTCTTCGGAACCTCTGGGCTAGTTTCAACATTTATCTTGGGGCATCCTTAGGCGATGGGGACTCAAGTGTGTACTAATGAAGGGCATTGTAAAGGGAGATAATTAAGAAAACTGACAAAAATTTGTTGGGGGTCATTCAAAAATATTCATGTAAAGAAACTAGATCAGAAATGACAAATCTTATGTGAAAGCTCTCTATATATGTTTGAAAGATTCATTTTTTTTTTTTGAACTATAGCCCCTGAAGCATATTGACACTCAGGAAACCATTAAGGTCCATAGGTTTCTTATTTTGAAACCCTTGTGTTTTGAATTTTGTAACATACAAACTTGTTTTATTTACCTTTGTAGGTGATAAATTGGAGTAATGAGTTGAAGCAGGCAGCATTTAGGGCTTTTGCATCTTTGGGGGCCAATGATGAGGAAATCAGGAAAAAGGTTCTCCTTTTTCTTTTTTTTTTTTTACATAGAAATCTTTTTTTTTCTTTCAAGAACATGATAAAGAATAAATACATATAGATGAAAGAGTTACAGAAAAATTATTTGTATTTGTTTGTGTTATATTAAGTAAATGAATATGACTTGCAGATAATTGAGACTGAGAATTTGATGGAGCACATTGTGAATGGGATGAACTGTGATGATCTCAAAGTACAGATGGGTGCTGTGAGGTGTCTCCATAGTTTGTCACGGTCAGTTCAGCAACTGAGGACCACATTCCAGGACCACACTGTGTGGAAACCCCTGATGAGTGTGAGTACTAGTCAGGCTTCCTGTTAAAGGGGATTGCACTCCTATTGATACAGTTTCACAAGACATTTTATTACCAATGATGATATTGAAAAGTTAGAAGTGTTGCATTTTTAGTTCACTTGAGCCATATAGGCAACCTATTGTGATTTGTTTCTGTCCATTGTTTAATGTAATGTGATTATTTGTAAACTTGTGAGCATTTTTATATTCTTCTCTGAAATGGCTGAACCAATTTCAACCTCTCTCTCTGGGTTAAGAGGTACCAATATTGTGAATGTTATGGCATCTGCTTCCATTGGGACTGAGGAGTGTGGCTGAAGCCATCAAAATTAATGCAATCTTCAAAAATCTTCTTTACTCTTGGACATAAGCAGACAAACTGTTAGCATGATTACAATGAGCAATGAGCCTACCACCAAAACTGAAATTTATTTAATAAATCATTCTGAAAATGCAAAACATATAAACATTTTGAGTAATATCTAGGCTTTGATGGTAGTTGGATTTTTTTCAGTTGATGACCAGTGGTCCAGAGGTCCTTTTACCAGTGACCTCATCCACTCTCTGTAATCTTCTCTTAGAATTCTCACCAGGCAAGGAGGTAAGCTCCCATTCATTACATCAAACAATTTGTCTTCATTAATCTCTTTTAGGTTTCATTTTGCATTCTTAACCCATCTGTGAAATGCAGATCATAGTCATCAGATACTTTTATGTCTCATAAAATCATCACACATGCATATATTCTTTTCCTTGGCTTCAACAAATCCTTTAGGCAAGCTTAAGCTATGATCGCTAATGTAAACTATTTTCCCAAAGTTTGGACCATCCATGTCATTGACCTTTTTGCACTAACTTCATGAAAATTTCTTACCCTGACTCCTGGTTTATTATAACAGAGACCCAGTAGTGAAAGTCCAAGAATGTCTGTAAGTCAGAAAAACAAAGTAAGTGTACCAATGTCTGGAAACCCTGCTAAGGAAGGGAATCATATGACAAACTGTGAAATCATATGAGATAATGTAAAAATTATTATATGACAAACTGTGAAACCATATGACATACTTTAAAATCATACGACATTCTTATTGCAGTATTTTAATTTTTTTTTTTTTGGAAAGGAACATTTTTTGTGATTCAAATTTGCTAAATGTAATCATTCAGTGTTTGGGAGTTTATTTAACCAAAAAAAAAATGTCAACATGTTTATAGTTTTAATAATGGAAAGAATTGATCCATCACCAAATACATGTACACTTGTATGATTGTACTGTCACAGTCCTCATGTAATACATACCCATTTCAGTTGCATCCTCATTTGCATGTGCATATTTTGTAGAAATCAGGCAAATCAAAAAGAAACTTTTTTTTAAATGTTATTTTGGTTCCTCTCTGGATGTTTTCTCAAGAATGTTTGTTTGTAATGCATGGGAAATTATATTAAACATAAAAAATGTATGCATTTCCTAATTCCTCAGACTTCAGTTTAATTGTATTCATTTATATTAACAAATCCTTCTAAATGTGTAATTTTCTGTAATAGTTTAAGAATCCATTACACATGCAGAAAATATTTGGTCTTCCTACTTTTCCACAATTTTATCAAAATCCTTAGTATGATTTTCCATAAGTATATGACATTGCTTTTCCAGAAATCCGTTACATGGAGTTACCTATATTCACCTTTATTTGATGATCACACATCCCAGAAATATTCCAAACTGACAAAAGTGAACCTACTCTTTCTGTCAGTTTATCAAATCCATTAGATTTAAACTTGCCACTTGCAGTGACCTGTGAATCAATTTTTTATGTGGATCATTTAGGCAGACTCCATGTTTTAGATTTTTCTACATAGTCCTATTAGCATTTTTAATGATGTTTTACATTTTGAAAATGTTATTCTGTTTACAATGGTGCTGCCATCTCCCCTTGGTAGACAATGAGGCAAAAAGTGCCTATTTTAGTGGTAATGATATTTTAGCACCTTTTGTGTTGCTTCCAGTCCACTAATTTATGTACACATGATTATATTATTAGAACTAATAAATGTCTTAAAGTCTCTAGTAATCAGTAAAAGAGACTGATTGCACTAAATTTTGAGTGAGTTATTTTATGTACGTTTACAGTACAATATTACCTTGTATCTGAAGAGGTAAATTAAAAAAATTGTGGAAAAGTAAAAACTAAGAATGATTATATAAACTGATGTCTTGTCTTTAATTTTTAAAGTGAATAATTAACTGCAGAGGACCTAACATTTCCTGTATTATACTTTGTGGCACACATGTATATCATTAATATAGTGAACACGCTTATTTATATAAACAATTTGTGCTTACTGCGAAGTGATTTTTCATTCCTGTGGTTTTAAAACGAAGTTTAACTTATCCAATATAATGAATTATGTTAATGATGAATCAAAATTGTTTGTTTCTTGCACTTCGCTATGAGCTTGTCTTACTTAATGTAAATATTACTAAATATTAATCTTCACTTGCATGAAGTTATGACATTGTATACCAACCAATTCTAGGACTTTTTTTTCCAGTGAGAAATTAAAACAAGACACAGAATTAAAAAAAATTCAAATCTTTCAATGTTAAAACAATTTTATTGATTGTGGATGTAATTTACTTGTTAATTTTATGATTAGGCATGCTTGGAGGTGGGAGCAATCAACATTTTGGCTAAGCTGACCTCTAGATCTGAGGGGGACTTAAAGCTGAATGGAATCTGGGCTCTAATGGTAAGCCATGCCTCCTTGTTCTCATTAAAGAAATCTTTAACCTACATTTAAATGTTTATAATAAAGACCCTGTTTTATACCTACAAGTACTAATTCTTATCCATGTACCTTAATTTCATCACATTGGACCTTTTTTATCAAAAGAAAGGGGGGGGGGGTGACATAGTAAGTAATAGATCCAGGGAAAATAGATACTGTAAATGACCAGCGTACCTGCTACCATTCATTCATCTTCTATATGTTTCATCTGTCTGATATGCTAGTTTTCTCAAAGAAATCGGTTCTTAACTATATACAATGTAACATTTCATGTTCCTTTTGCAGCTTGTTTAATGTGTAAGATAGAAGTCTCAATGGTTAACATATACATCATATTAGATCTGTTTGTAATGTTAGAGGAGATCAAACATTTCTGAGTGAGCATATCACTTTGAATAAATTGTTCTTTATTTCCATTCTAGAACATGGCCTTCCAGGCAGACCTGTTAGTGAAGAACCAGATAGTGGATACCATTGGTACGGAGCAACTATTCCGGCTGTTGTCTGATCCAGATCCAGCTGTTCTGATGAAAACCCTAGGCCTGATACGGAACCTACTGGCTGGAAGAAGAGTAATTGATTATTTTTTTTTAACTAACCTGAGCTGAAGGCTCATGTGAGCATTTCTGATCAAAATTTGTCCGTTGTCTGTCGTCGGTGTGGGAATTGTCATAACTTTTCACATTTTCATCTTCTTCTCCAGAACCACTGGGCCAATTTCTACCAATCTTCGCACAAAGTAACCTTATGTGAAGGGCATTCAGGTTTGTTCAAATTAAGGGACACACATTTCCAAGGGGAGATAATTACGATATAGTGAAGATCGTGTTGGGTCATTTAAAATCCTCTCAAGAACCAGTGGGCCAGAACAGAAAAGATTAAACTTATGTGAAAGCTTGCTGACATAGTGTAGATTCAAGTTTATTCAAATCATGACCTCCTGGGGTAGGGCAGCTCCACAATGGGCATAGGAATTTATGAAAAAAATCTTCTTCTCAAGAACAACAAGCCATGATTACTCACATTAATACAGATAGTGTAGATTCAAGTTTGTTCAAATCACTTCCCCTGGGGGTAGGGCATGGCCACAATAGAAGATCAAACATTTACATAGAAATGTAAAGAAAAAAAAAATTTAAAAACCTTGTAAAGACATGATTAGTCATAGAAATATGGAAGCATCCTCAGTTAGTGTAGAGTCAAGCTAGTTTTGTTCACCCCCCCCCCCCCCCCCCCCCCCTTATAGGCAGTAGTTTGAGACCAGTTATATATTTAAACTATTCAATTTTGTAGCCAAAGAGTGCTCAGGTGAGCAATGTGGCCCATGGGCCTCTTGTTTGATTGCTGATGATATAGTATTTATCAACAGATATAAGATCATTAATGTTTTTAGGACATAGCATGTATGTAACATATTTATTCTACAGGATATTGATAATTTAATGAAGAAATATGGAAATCAGATAATGCAAGCTGTTGTCTTTATCCTTGAGGGAGATCATGTAGTGGAAATAAAAGAACAGGTAACACACAACAAATCTCTTTATATAGAGTGCAGAAAATGAAATTATTAATGAACTTGAAAGCTTAAAATGCATTTTAAAAAATAGTGTTTGAGATCTGTTGGGATTCAATATATATTGTGGTATATTTTGTTTGGCAGACTTTGTGCATACTAACAAATGTGGCAGATGGAGATGAAGCAAAGGAATACATCATGGGAAATGAGGATGTCCTGAAGAAACTCATGACATACATGGTAAGATGAGTGTACATTTACTTTAGTTTTCAGTAGTGAAGATGATTAACCTCTGTCTGTACATGTGTTAAAGATGATTATTATTTTTATTTTTTTTACTTAATTTCTTCTGATTATAACATTGTTTTCTTTTCATTAAGTAATGGTTGTTAACTTTAGGTCCATACCAATGTGAAGTTACAGATAGCAGCTACTTCCTGTATCTCTAATCTGGTGTGGAATGAACAGGAAGGTCAGTGTTTTTTTTTTTATATAAATTCATCAAAGATAAGAATTCACTATTATTGACTTTTCACAATAGCTAGCAATGAAGAGAGCTCACAACATTTGTGGAAGACAGTAAAGTGATGGGGAAAATGGAAGGTTCAGAGTTATTTCCCTTTGGCTCTACAATGCTAAATTTGACATTATTTTTTTAAATTTTCTATAAAAAAAGGTAAAATACTGTATGACCTATTATCTTTATCTGTTTTTTTTTTAAATGATATTTTTAAAATTATACTTCAAAAAATCATTGATAATCTTGTATTGTTCCAGGAGCATACAGCAGACAAGCCAAACTTCGAGATCTGGGAATACAGAAACTGTTACAACAACTTCTCAGTGCTAATGATTCTACACTGTTTGATAAGTAAGAAATAATGAAAAGTTGTATATATCTGTGACTGTAAAAATAAAGTTTGCAACTGATTTCCATTACATGAGATAATACTCGATTTTACTTCCACAGTAAATGTTTTGAATTTTTCAGGGTGAAATCAGCACTACAGCAGTTTACATGACAGAGAATTTGGATCGTTAATGGATAAATAATGGCCAGACATTGTCTTTCAGTTGAATTCAAAAGAGAAAGAACTATTCCTGTGAATAAGAGTTCAGACATCTGAATGTAAATGCACATTTTATTTGCTGTATTTTCAGTAAAACTCAAACCCACTTGTTCTTGCAAAATTTGGAATGAAGAGAGAAATCTTGATTTCATGTACAAGTGGATGCATGGACATTTTACTATAGAGCATGCAGATAACTGGATTATGAACTTATGAGCTGTGCAAAGAAATAAATGTGAAAAACAATTGAAGAGTTAATCATTTTATAATGTAGACTGAAGTGCTCATTGAAAACACTAATGTTACAATATAGTAAATGCTAGATTATACCCATATCATATTTTGGCACCAAGTAACAGAATTTTTAAATGCTTTATTCTTCAGGCTTGATATTAGTCATGATCTTTGACAAGACTGTAAAAAAAAAATGGGCTCTTAGTATTTTATAGTTATTAAATGTGACAATTTTCCAGAAAAGTAAATCTTTCATTTTTTTTGGGGGGGGGGGGGGGATATATATACTGTCAAACATTGTTATCTGGAACTCAGTTGGAAAGAGAAAAATCTCTAGATATCCAAGAGATTTTGATATTGAAGTTAAGACTTCCAACTTGGACATATCCATGGTATTCTAGATATTGATACATGAAATACACTGTTCCAAATGTTCCACTGTATATGGTCTGTTTAAAAAGAAATTCTTAAGAAGAGTACATGTTCTTATTATGCATAATTCTTATTATACATATGATCAATTGAAATTCCAGGGAAACAAGCTAATTCAGAAAATTTGTGTTCCCTGCTTAAGGAAAAAAAGAAGAGGGCAGTGGAGCTGGGAAAATTTTGCAGATGGAGAAAGAAAAGGGGTCACTTGACATTTCAGCTTTAGGCCTTAAATTCATTAGGAATCTTTTTAAAGTAAAAGAAATTCATGACCAAAAGTTTCATTGCAAAAGCTTACAGAAAAACTAAAATTGTTATCTGAAAACTATTAAATATATATTGCTGACCTTGACCTTTGGGCCTCAAAATTAATATGATTGTTTTAAGGCCATGGAGAGCTGCGATATATTTCATTGCAAAATCTCAAAAGCTTTTTAACGAGGTTCGCTCCTGAGCGTTTGAGCAGATTTATATCTTAACCTATATTTCAAAAATTCTGCATAAAATTTTAATTCTTACAATAAATTTGAATTCTACAATGCCAATTAAACTATATTCAGTTAAAACTTCATGATAAAATTCCATACCAAAAGCATTAAGTGAGAAACTATATTTTGTGGCAGAAGGTTTTTTAGAAGAAAATGATCATTTTTTTCTCTTTCGAAGTATTTAAAGTATGTTAAGTTTGGATTCCTATTTTTACATGCAGTCTGCACACAGAGTTATTTTGTGTAGTGAACTGTTTTATACTGGTCCTAAATTATATATCAAATAAACTGTCATGAATTCTATCATTATATTTGATAAATATAGCAAATATATTGTGAAAATCAAGAAAAAAAATGTCCCTATTTTAAGCTTAAAATTAGCACTATTTTAATAATATCTAACAATTAACATCACAGACCCCCACTTTTTATTTTCTTTTCTGAATATATAAAATACTTTTAACCATTCTTTTTAAATTCAGTAAAATGTAATTACTTTCAAATGATTTTTTTGCTTGTTAAATTTTTAATGCCAGTAAAATGAAATTTTTTGAGTGCAAAAAGGTCAAATAATTGAACATGCGGAGTAATTTGAAAAATTTTTCGTTGTCACAAATTTTAATGTGTCTATTCAAGATGAAATAAAACTGTGTTTGTTCCCATAATTTATTTGAATAAAAAAATATTAGAGGAAAAACTTTAAAAATTTATTTATGTGTAAGACGTATTTACAGTGCAAAAAGGTCAAACTAAATGCTCTGTAGCGCCAAAAGAAGTGCATTGACCCCCATCTTTTGTTTTGATTTTTAATTAAACTATGTGTGTAAATTATAAAAATATACTTGATAAAAAATTCTCATTACTTTTGATGGCAGGATCCAACCTCCTTAAGATATACCTTGGAAAAATTGTTAGACACATAGAATGTATGAATTTATTACCTTATCCGATGACTTTTTCACCTCAAAGTCAATAGGGTTTTTCTTTATGCCATAGGGAGTTGTGATATTAAATTTGTTGAAGAAAACTAAAGATGTTATTTGAAATATATGAACTTATGACCTTTGACCTTTTAACCTCAAAATCAAAATGGGCCATAAAGAGTTAATATATATATTTCATTGCAAAAGCTCATTGATTTTATAAGAATTACCCGGTAGTTTGAAAAAAAAAGGTGTTACACACAGATAGCTTACATGAATTTATGACTTTGACCTCTGACCTTTAAGTTTTGACTTGAAAATGGAAAGGGGTCTTTTTTATATCATTGGGAGTTGTAATAGAAATTTTATTGAAGATATCTCAAACATAATTAAAAGTTATCATCTGAAAAATGTTATTTGTAATGTATGAATTTTTTACCATGACCTTTGTTCGTTTGACCTAAAAATCAATAGGCCCTGGGGTCTTTTTTGAGCCATAAATAGTTGTGAAATAAAATCTCATTGCAAAAGCTCAAAGGCTTCTTGAGATATTGCATGGAAATGTAAGTGTTACACAAACAGAATAAATAAATTTATGTCCTTGATCTATGACCAAAATCAATAGGGTCTTTTTTAGGCCATAGGGAGTTGTGGTAAAAAATTTTATTACAAAAGCTCAAGGCTTCTTGAGAAATCGCCTGGAAATGAAAGTGTTACAAACAAAACAGAAGAAATAAATTTATGACCTTGACCTTTGACCTCAAAATCTATGAGGGTCTTCTTCAGGTCATAGGGAGTTGTGGTTTAAAATTTCATTGCAAAAGCTCAAAGGCTTCTGAGATATCATCTGGAGTGTTGCACACGCACAGACAGACAAATAGACCCAAATAAACAGGAAGAGGAAATATCGAGTCCATACTTAATTTTATTGTAATTATAAAAAATGACAGGTGAATGTAGAAAAGTTTCAGTGATTAAGGTGTGCACAGTACAATTTTAGGGCAAGAATGCATTCTTTAAAAGAATTATAACTATCACGAATAAACAAAGCAATTCTCAATGATCGAATATGATAATGTACGAACGGACCATATTTGACATGGCGGCGGCAGGTTCCAGTTCGAAAGTCAGTTTAGATGTATTTTTAACAACTTTTAAGTCTTTTCAACCCTTGATATATGTCAAATTAATATGCAACAATTGACTTTTTGCTAATTCAACGTTTATCTATATTGTTTCTTGTTTTCCTTGTACTTACACGAATGTTTAAAACAAAGGAAGAGGAAATTCGAAAAGATATTAGTAAACAATACAACACGGAATACCACAAAGTAAAGTCAGGGCTAGAAATAATAATTTTTTTTTTCAATGGTCACTCGGGCTATCGCCTTTGATTTTTATTGGTCTGTTCAGTGCTTTTACTGTCCCACTGGGCCAGTAGATTTTAAAACGACTGACCAAATACCATAATGATGATAGTAATATTATTGTGATACTTAGTAGTTCAACTTATCAAAACATGAAACGACAGAACTTGGACACACAACCCTGTCAAGTGAACTAGCCTGACTGTGAATGAATTTTGTTATACTTAAAAGAAATACTGACCCAAAGGGCACATGCCTTCTACAATGTGCTAGCCCAGATTTAAAATTCAGTGGCCCCTGACGTGGGCCATCGATTATTTCGAGCCCTGAAAGTATGTATAAAACCATCTTTCTCCTCATACACATCTCTGACAAGTTGTGCAGTATTAGGCTTACTTCCCCTTCGTGGCATTAAGCTACAAATATCAGTGCCTGTAACCGGTGCATGGATTTACCCAAAAGGACCCAAAAGGAACATAAAAGATCCCAAAAGGAAACCAAATGGAACCCAAAAGGACTCAAAATGAAGGGGGCAACCAGCTTTTATATGAACATTTTCATACTTAATTGAAAGTAAAACATTAGATTTGGCAAAAAGGGGGGGGGGGGGAGGAGCCCCCTCCCCCTACACTATTTGCTTGGAGTAAGTCATAAAATAAAACTTATTATTTCATTTAAGATATGCTAAAATATACGGGAAAATATAATAATATGTTTATCTTTTCAGCTTAAATAAAACAAAGCATATCCAACAATATTTAGTGTTTGACGTGTTTATGCTTATAAGGCGTTATGTTATTTCTGAAAGTATAAATCTATGTTTTTGCAAACTTTAATATAAACTATGTACCGGTAATATAGAATTCATTATCTAATTCATATTATTACTTTTTATCATATCTTAATATAATTATTTTAGGTCCTTTTAGGTTCCTTTTGGGTTCTTTTGGGTCCTTTTGTGTAAATCGACGCGCCCCCTGTTGCCCCATTGTTTGGCCTCATAATTAGGGAATTAGGCTCCAAATCTTAGTTTAGGATCATCGACGATAGTCCTCCATGTTAGGCATTAGACTCCATGTATTAGGGCCTGCTGCCTCTTAATTAGTGCACTGATTAGGCTCTGGGATTAAGGCACCAAGTAGGGTCCATACTACATAGTTAGGGGATTTTTTTTATACAATATTCCTGATACAATATTCTAATTATGTTGACAGTGGTACCGTTGGGGCGAGTGCAGTTCAGTATTTATTACTGGATACCTATTCACTTTGTACTTGGACAGCAGAAAAAAAATATATTGGATCAGTGTGCAGACATTCCAAATTTTGTCTTCGTCCAGGCATTGCTTTAAGAGCTTGCAGTGTAGGCAGCACTTCACTTTGCTCTGTATTCTGCACTCACCATTACAATAAAATATTTACACTTAGCTAGAAAAATACTTCAGAATAATAAAATGTATTCTCTTAAGAGTCTGAGATGTAATTATTATAATGGATATATCACTTATTATCATCTTATACATGAACCATTTTATGAATTTTTGATTTTCAGGATATTTTATCAGAAGTCAGAACATTTATTGCTGGCACTAGTAACGAGAAGTCCATTAGCCATGAGAGCTTGGCCAGATCAGCCCTTCATCTTCTGCAGACTCTGCCAGTGGCTAGACATGCTGTGTTAGAACACCTCTGCTCCTTGTTTGACGAGGCCGTCAAACTCCACATCCTCCAGAGTGATGACCCAGCCGGTCAAGGTAATGGGGAGATGCTTGTAGGGCCAGGAAAATGGGGATAGTTTACATTTTGTAGGATTTATTAATTAATGATCTTGATGATGGCTCAGCTAATTACCCGGTAGCTGAGTTAAGAAAGGACCAAAACATCTTTTTATTCCTTAGAAATAAATATAACATCAAATTTTAAATTCCTTTGAAAAATGAAAGTTTGTGCAAACCTATGTCAGCTGTGTAAAACGTATACCTGTTTTAATTTACATTTTTCCAGAGTTTAGTTTGGTATTTTTGCAAAAAGAACAAAACCTTTTTTTTTTTCTTTTGAAAATATTTTATTCATTTGAAACATGCATTACTTATTTTTTTGTAAGCATCACAGTATTTATTTTTTTTCTACAAGAAAATGTTCATAAAATTATCAATACTTCCAGAGGATTTTAATGCAATATTCATTGCTATGTGATCCATGAGTCAGTGTATGTTTTGTTTTTTTTTTTTATTACAGAGGAAGGAGAATCTGATTTAGATGGTGTCATACAAGACGTGTGTGGTGTTCTCTTCAACTTCATAAAGACCAACCCTCTGGCGTGGGCACCGATCATCTCAAATGTAACATTTATTGTATACTCAATCCATTTCTATTATTCTATAGTTCAGGAAGAACAACTTATTTTTTATTGTCTTTTATTTTCTTAACAATTCTGTATGATTTTTAAAAAATGTGGCTATTTTTGACAGTGGTCACTAGAGCTGCTGGGACACATCAGCTGTAAATATGCTGGTCAGTGTGGACTATCCCCCTCCTCCTCCCTCAATGAACTCCTCCAAATGTGGGTCACCTGTAAACCAACAAAGTCCCTCATGGAGGTAGCCACAGAGTGCTTTGCTGCGATGTATGTACTCTCAGATTTTAAATACGAGTCCATTTTAATTAACATGTTTTATGTTAAATAAGAAGTGTAATTTAGATGAGTAAGATTTTCTCTATGTTGTATTTATAAATATCTCATTATTTTGCAGGGTTGGCAGTGCACCAGATGTGTGTGTAGATGCCTTACTCGAAGCCTCTGTCAAATACAGTCCCCATTTTGATTGGGTTGTTGCACACATTGGGTAACTAGCATAAATTGTTCTCTATGTTAATATTAAAATCATCAGTTTAAACGCAATCAGTTGACACAGAATAATGAGCCAAAAATGAGCACTGACAAATATTTTACAGCTCCTGTTTCCCAAACACAATTATCACCAGAGTGTTAATGTGTGGTCTTAAGGACTTCTGTCACCATGGAAACAAGAGGCCAGATATGGAGACGAGGGGTGATGAGAAGGTTCCTAAAATGGACTCTGTTGTGGACATTCTGGGTCATCTGGCATCTAAACACAGACAGGACATCAGGGGGGCCCTCATGAAACTTTTTGAGGTACACACACCAGTAAAAAATGAAGATACTTTTGATAAAGGCAGAAAAAAATTAAAAAACACTATATGAAATTTTCAAATATTTTTTTCAAACCTTGTTATCTTGAACCCGATGGGACAGAGAAAATAATTTGAGATATCCAAGGGTTCGAGATATCCAGGGTAAAATACTTAAGGAATAAGCGATTGGGACTTCCAAATGACTTTGCCATATGGTATTTGAAATATCAGTGTTTGAGATACCAAGGTTCAACTGTACTTTATAGTGATGTTCCCTGAATATCATAACTCATAAGATAAATGATAGTGAAAGCAAAAGAAGCCAGAAACAAAAAAAAAAAGTTCATTTGTCTGAGTGTAGATCATTTATGTTGTTTTCTAACACAACAGGAGAGTATGAAGTCTGACAGTGAAGTAGTGAAGGTGACCACGGTTCCTTTTCTGTTAGAGCTGGCTTCCAGGTCAGACATGCTTCTACAAGTCCTCAGTACGGACCTCATCAAATCATGTAAGACTGCCTCGGCTTTAGATATTAGAACTGGGTTGATGGCTCGTTGTGTACTATTCTTACAAAGTTTTTCCTTTCTTTTATTTATTTTCTTTCAGTAAATCCTGAATTGTTAAACAAACTGCATGTGAACTTTGAACCTTGGAGGAGAAGAAATGCCCCAGAATATTTAAGGTAATTTACAATGATTTTTATAGTTTACAGACAGGCTCAACAATTAAACAGGTTGATAGCACACATACTGTTTGTGAATCTTTGCTTATAATGAAGCCATGTTTTGTAAACAATAAATACTAAACTAGGCTTGATCTTATTAAAATCCTTTATTAAAATAAAGACTTTTGTGTGATATTGTTTCATAAGTTGACATGGTTTTAAAGCAGATAAATCATCATTCACACCATTATGAGAATCAGTTTTGACTTAAATAAATTCAAAATGATTTCCATAACTTCCAACTTTTTCAAAGCCTATATAGAAAATACATGTAAGCTTGGGAAAGTTGTCTCAGATGTGTGAAATGTAAACAGAATGTTAGCAAATTGAAATCTTTGAAACATTATGAGTATATGTCTTGCAAGATATTTTATTTGTAATGAACAGTTTGATCAGCCTGGTGGTTCAGCTGATTAAGAAGATTGACTTCACAACATTAGAAGTTCTGGAATTTCTACTGGGGATAGCTTCACCAGGTAATGACATCCAATTCTGATTACCAAAAACCCTCAACTTTGTCCTTAGTTAATCTGATGTTTGGGGTCAGTCAAAATATACCTCAGTAATATACAACAGAGATAAGCCTGACAGATACACTGTTAGTCCTAGAGTTTACATGTGTATTTACTTCTATCAAAATGAATTTGATTTTCAGACAACACAAATAACTGTCCATGTCCTGAGGTTCAAGAAGTTGGGGCTATCATTCTTGTGAGTATAAAAGGCATTAAAGAAAAAGAAATTAAAAAAAATGACAATTATATGTGTAATTTGTTAACAACAAAGTAATTTTTCCATTGAGAAAGACAGGAATTTGATTTTATTTTAGAATCGCCTCATCTTTGAGCTCCAGAGATCAGTCTTTCACAAGCGGAGGAATGCATCTATTGATGTCCCGTTTTTATCCTCATTGGTTGATCAGTCAACAAACATACTCAGGTTACTGCTGGACAGTAAGGGATCAAGGTACAGACAGTACATTACTGGTGTTATACATGTAGATGTAATGAAATACAAGCTTACCAAAATGTATGAATTCCTAGGGTATACACATTTTCAGCATAGTTGTTTATGATCTTTATCATAAAATTTAGTTAATATTGTGAAGGGTTATAAAATATCTACAGTGTATTATACAGACAACACTTTTCTGACATACACACGTACATTAAAAACAGAAAGAAACTGATATTTCTAAGTATATTCTGGAGTTCAGTTATGATATAACTGCTTTTGCAGAGGGGACTGGTTGTTGAGGATAGTGGCCTATATTGGTCTGTATAGTGGAGAAGACTTAACAAGTGATTTAATGGTTTACATATTGTGCAATGCAACATCACACACTCAGGTTTGTTCTTAAAAATAGAGTCATTGTAACTGAGCTTGAAATTATCAGAATGCCCATTTTTTATGAGTTTATGAGTCTGGCACAAAGCTGTGAAAGTTTTCGATGAACTTTTGTGATTTTGTAGCTGTGCCGCTTTGTACAGCTACAGAGCATTGTTGAGGTGAAGCTGGGGGATATTCTGCCTGTGGTGGTCCAGAAAGTGACAGATAAACTGAGGTCCTACAAAATCCCACAGCCTAATGTCATACTGGGTAACATACTGGCCATCTTAGAGTGGGAAAAGTCAACCAAGTCTCTCAGTGAGAGGTCAGTGTGTTTCAGAATGATTACTTATTTACTTGTATGCAGATATGTCAAATAATGTTAAAAATCAGTTTCTGTGTGACACCAATACTCCAACCATTTATATTTATATTTCAGATCCACTTTGTTATTCTGCATAAAGAAGCAGTGGGAAGCTTTTCTGCCTTTGTTGACCAATGATGACCTTCACCTTGTTTTAGAGACAGTCAAGGTCATCAATACTCTGGAAATCCCCACCAATATTTCAAGTGCTAATGCACTCAAACTGTGTTCAACTTTACTTCATTTCTTCTTCAGATCATTAGAAGTTGAAGGTACATGTATATACATGTATTTATACATTATGCTTACTGTCTTTAAATATTTTGGATATTTCATGTACAGTCAAACTTGTCAAAGCGGTCACCTTTATCCAGCGGTCACCTGTCCTATGCGGTCATTTTATTTCCTCCCAATGAATTTTTCTATATAATGTAACTCTATTAAGCTGTCAGCTGCGTAACGCGGTCAGCGGTCATCAAATTTCATGTAAAATTGCTGTTTTACCTCGTATATAGCGGACATTTTGTCCGATCATGTGACCAGATCTCAAGTCAGGTGACTGCCAATTTTTGTCACTAATGTAAATAATTGGTCTTGTGTAGCGAGATCATGAAAAAAATTATAATTGGCCTTATTTAAAATATTGGATAATTTATTTATTTTTTTAGCAAAACTAAACAAGGGTGCTAGTGACCGAAAAGGTTATCAGGAAAACGGACTTACGAGAATCTTAATCTTATTGAATTGGAATCTGGTTTAAAAAATTCTGAGTGATACACAAGGCATCCTTATTTATCTATTAATGGATTCAATATTTAGGTGTTTCCTAATTATTAGTTCAGGTTTGGTATGCCCAACTCCGATAGGTGTAATTGCGTAAATGCATGACAGGCCGTTTTTTACACATAGGAAACGTATTATTTGTAGAAACCCTAATTAACTGTTTTGTATACTGAATGTGTCCTGATTATCTCGTGATTTTCAACTAGGTAAGACAACCGTTTGGATTAGTCACGCTTCATTGCTCACAACACAAACTTGTTTTTTAGAGGCAGTTAAGATAAAAAATACATTATGTTTTATTCATGACACAACATGATAATGTAATCTTATAATAATCAGGTTGGGGGGAAACTTAAAGTCCGCTATAATAGTGGTATATCACTATTATAGTGAGATTCCGCTATATTTTCAGCCGTAGTTACCCTCGATTTCATCAAATAATACACTTGCTGATTAAAGCGCAAGTTATGATGGGTATAAAAATGGACAATAATTTGAATCCTTGCATGTTATGAATTTTATTTAATTTTCTGCCGATGCGTTTTATAATACGAACACACTTTTTAAAGCGGAAGTTACATTTTTAACATAGCAACCAGTGATTGCGGTAGTATTGAACAAAGACTGACTCTTAATATCTCTCACACATGTGCACAAATTAGTGCTTGTAATAACTTTGGACCCACTTTGGAATACGTTTGTCGAATTTACAGAAGAAAAGTTGATTTTTGCCTGCATGGTAACGGGTATGGAGGCCCGTTGTGACCAACGAAAAAAGCTCATTACATGTTCACTTTATTCTGATGAAACCGATTTGTATTGTTTAATTGCAATAAATCGTAAACAATGATGTAAGATGTCATTTCTGCAGGTAATTACAAACACATTGTTTGACATTCGTTTTGAGAATGTTAAACAAAATTAACAATACGAACAACAAAGGGCCTCGGTTTTAAGGGTGTCTTCCACCTATTCCCACTTTTTAAAAAAAAAATCACAAGTCCACATATTTCCGCTTGCAAATATGATATAGTTTATTCAGAATATAAATTTGAGCAGTACAGCCCATCAGTTACAAAAATAACTTATAATCTATACATATTTTACAATAAGTAAGACTCTCAAAGAGTCTAAAAGGGGGGTGAGACCCCTGATCAAGTGTTCCTCAGTCCCAAAGTTCCATTCACTTGTATAGAAGACTATAATATATGCTATAATATAAAGCAGAAGAAAGAATACTTTAAAACAATATAATTGTTTTACAATATATGTAGCAATGCTGTTGTATTATATATAAACATCTGAAAATTAACCTTGAACAAATAGACATTGGGTCAACCTGACAGATCATCGTAACGTAATATAAGAGCATGATGGATAAATTTCCCTAAGCCAACTAGGGTACATATGCGATGTGAACCGAATAAATGAAGTAATTTAAATGTAATAATATTCATTTATGTATTTTTTCCTTAAATTTAGATATCTGTGGCACTGAAGAATGAAATTAAATTCGTCTTCAATTTGATGAGTATAGTAAACATCGCATAATCTATCCTCCCTGCTCTTGCCTTGTGTTGAAAGTTCATTTGTGTTTATAACAATTATGTTAATTACATCTCAACTTAGGTGGGGTTTTTTTACAATTCAATACACTTTAAGACAGAAAATACATTTAATAAATCGATGAAAATGCAATGATATATTTCACTTAATTTTGTACAGAAAATAAATAAATAGATTTTAAGAAAAAAAATATGATGTAATTCACTCAATTTTTTACTCCTTGAATACGTACAATTTAAGACAGAAAATTATGTAAATCGATTCAATTTCTTTTTCAATTTGCTTAAACTACTGTATGAAATATGAAGATAACAAACAGTAATCAATCTCAAAAGTCCATTGAAACAATAAAGAAATTAAACAGAGCAAACACGGACCCCTAAAAACATCAGAGGTGGGATCAGGTGCCATGGAGGAGTGAGCACCCCCTACCGACCGGTCACACCCGCCGTGTGCTCCTTGTCATGATCGTGAAAAAACCATAGACAATTCAATGTGTAAATAATGGCTTATGTATACTTAAAAAAGCAGGCTTAATATTTTAGTGACTGTGGCGCAGACAACGATGAACTAATTCATGATAACCATTAACAAATGAATTTTGCAAAATCCATGATCGACAGGGGATGCCTACTCCTCCATAGCACCTGATCCTACCTTTTCGCTCTGCGAAAACTTTTATTGTTCAAATGGCCTTTTTCGTTATCTTCATATTTCTGTTTCTCCTTGTATTTCGTTTATTTATACCAGAATAATCTACTTCTGGTAATTAGGATTTATTGTCTCCTTTTTAGTGCATAACGTAGTTAAATATAAAATTTTGTGCATTTACACAATCAATAAATTGTGCAGAATTTATAAGACGTCGCATCTACAGGTAATTTTCACAACTTTTTCCCTTTTCTTGCTAAGACTAATCATTTTAATTCATGGTTTCATCATCAAGAGAGGAAACATTATACATGTACCTAAGATTACATGTAAAAGTGACATTGCTTACGATTTAGACGACACAAATTGGTTCCATTAAAGTGAAGAGCTTTTTTTTCATTGGTCACAACGGGCCTCCATACCCGTTACCATGCAGGCAAAAATCACCTTTTCTTCTGTAAATTCGACAAACCTATTCCAAAGTGGGTCCAAAGTTATTACAAGCACTAATTTGTGCACATGTGTGAGAGATATTGAGAGTCAGTCTTTGTTCAATACTACCGCAATCACTGGTTGCTATGCTAAAAATGTAACTTCCGCTTTAAAAAGTGTGTTCGTATTATAAAACGCATCGGCAGAAAATTAAATAAAATTCATAACATGCAAGGATTCAAATTATTGTCCATTTTTATACCCATCATAACTTGCGCTTTAATCAGCAAGTGTATTATTTGATGAAATCGAGGGTACCTACGGCTGAAAATATAGCGGAATCTCACTATAATAGTGATATACCACTATTATAGCGGAAATTACGTTTCCCCCCAACCTGATAAAAGAGAGTTTTGTTGTTGTTTGGAGGGAGGATGATGCAATGTCCTATTAGACTTAATATAGTTTTTGTTGGAGTCATCAAATTTATCTTGAACTTAATCTTGAGACTATTTAAATTTAGAAAAAAAATCTGAGACCATTGATGTCCAAAACACATCTCTCTTTAATATTCTGTGATGTAGTATTTTAAGACACAGAACTTACTTAAATTAGCAGAGCTCGAGATAATTTTTTACCCCAAAGTGTATTTACTCTCTGATTTTCAAATCAATGCAGATTTTGATTTTCAGCAAAATGATTTAAGAGTATTTTGTCAATTTATAAATGTTTTGACTTCTATTTTGATTTTGTGCTTGTTATCGAAATATAAGTGTTTTAGAAGAGGAAAGGGATAAAACTACAAAGGACCGTTCCTGCATTTATTTAAATAAATTTTGAAAATACTAACAAAATTTTTTGCTAAAACTGAGAAACATTCTTTTTTGACAAGGAAGATCATACAGTAAGTAAAGTTACCGTAGGCACATAAAACTTTTTCTCCATTAAGATGATATATCCTAACAAGAGTAAACCAACAGAAAAAAATCATCATTAATATGGCAGGTTGAGAGAAATCAGAAATTGGCAATGAACCCATTATAAAAAATGTTATGTACAAACGGTGAGTAACCGTCCTACTGAACAGAGAACTTTAGAAAATCTAAGAGAACACTTGATCGGTAAATTCAAATACATATTATGCGTAATGTCTCTACAGCAATTTATTTATTTAACTGTGTTCAACTGGTCTTGGACTTAAACAGAGCTCCTTTTTTTTGATATGGTTTTAATATGGTCTTCACTTTTTTTTTTACTGCATCATGTCCTCTTTGATAACAATGCAGTGTAAACTTTTTTTCTCCAGCTAAGACTTTTTTCCTCCATCTATTGTTTGTCTTCTAGGTAATATTGTTTTCATGTATTACACTTGTTACAATATCATCTTACAAAGACGACACAAGCTTTTGTGTGCTTAAAAGTACATGTAACTATGCCTAGTGCACAGTTTTTCTATTTAAAGAAATCGATTTTAATCTATATCTTTGATTCTTTCTCCCGAAATGGAAATCGTCATCGCAATTACTAGCATATTCCTGGTTATTAAAACGCTTTTAAATCAGTATTTCGTTTTGAAAAAAAATCAAATGCTGAGTTAACCTCAATTCATATCGTAAGATAAGTCGTACTTTTATTATTCAACCTGTCGTACGTACGCAGTACTTTCGTGGTGTAATGCTTATCTACGATTGCTAATGCGTAACTATACGCCCAGTTTTAAATTTCAATGCGTATTTTGTAAAATTTAATGCGTATTTCTGCAAATACGCACCTTATCTGGAGCACTGAATTAGAAAAGAATTTTTCTTGAAAAAAAGATTAACCTCTTTTCAAAGGTCACCTCTCTATAAAGGTCACTTTTAATGGTTCCCGCAGGTGACTGCTTAATACAGGTTTGACTGTATTTTTTAAAAAGGGTACAAATTGTATAACATGTATGACCTGGAGTAATTGTAACACTATTTTAAGTGAATTGAGATGCTTATAGTACATATTCTTTCAAAACTATATAAACCATGGTCTGTTTTAGACACAAGGCTATCCTCATCCATGTTCCATGCTTGTCGAGAGTGTCTTAAATTCCTGTGTAAGGAGACTTTTATCCAGTGTATAGCTCTCAGATTTCTCATTGAAAGTTTGTTCATAAAGGTAAGTTTGTCATGAACTTACATGTGTTGCTCTGTACATGATCAAATAACATATTCACACAAAAGCAATGAATTTTATTGTCTATTTTGAAGGACATTGCTATTTTATTTGGTGCAAAGCGAGATCTTCCTATATCAAAGTTTGAAAAAGAGAAGAAAAATTTTCAGTCTCTTTATGATGCTAACAGAAAGCAAGGCTTGTCTACAGCCCTCCACAGATCTCAGTCCACTGTATTTCATGCAGGGGTCATAGGTCAAGGGTTAAGGACATCAACATCAGGTCCTGTCCTCCCAAAGGTATGGTTGTATTTCAAAAAGAAATTTTGTTTAAAGTAATAAAAAGACATAGATACATTACTTAAAGCATGCTTTTTTTTTATTTACTTCATCATTTCAAGGCAAGTGAAATGAGTCCTAGATTGTTATATTATGTTAAAAAAGTATTGTCTCCTTTCAAATATACATAGATATAGCAATTTTTACTACATTGTATTTGCACATGAAATGAACAACTTGCTACTCCACATAATTTTTATGGGGGTCATTTGTGCACAGTATTGACACTTACCTGTACTGTTATTCTGATTTTATGTTTTACTGTTTTATTAGCTCACCTGAGCCATTGTTTGCTTTAGTTGTGGCTCATGGGGCTAGGGCAGCAAAAGTGGTTAAGAGTTAACAAAGGAATAAATTGAGAAAAAACTTTCAATACTCTTCTCAAGAACTGATGAGCCACAATTAGTGAAGATAATATACAGGTATCTTCATGTCATGGAGATTCAAATGTTTTCAGATCATGGCCCCAAGGGCTAGAATGCACAACAGTAGATATGAAAGTTTTATTTAGGAATATCTTTATGTAAAGAAATGCTTCAAAAATCTGCCTATATAAAGTAGGGTCACATTTACATGTAGATATATTTACATGTATATGCAGACATCCCCATTTTGTGTAGAATTCAACTTTGATCAAATCTTGGACCCTTAGCCTACCATAGTTTGAGTCAAAATAGTGGATCAAAGATTTGCATAAGAATGTACAGATAAATTCTGCTAAAAATCTCTCTACTCTAGTTAGTCAATTTGATATGCAAGTTTTCTCTTGTAAAGTTTAAACTGTTATACAGAACAGCAGGGCTACATTCAGCCAAACTTTACAACATCCTTGTGTCGTGTGGGTGTAGATGGCTATCAGTGTCAGGGTGGGCCACATTTTAATTAACACATGACATTATGGGAATACTCTTTTTAAAGGGGATAGCAATGCTTCAATTTCTCATAAATGATTTATGCACACCAAGTAGTGTTTAGTTTTGACTCTTGGAGTCAGTGTGGGCCACAGAAGGGGTACACTAGAGTTTTTAAACTTTCTAGATCAAGGAGGCTACAGTTAGTAAATACATGTATTGATATCAAGAATTAAGATATTGGTTATTACGTGATGCATAAATTTCAATAGCTAAAAACATGCTATAGCCTGCAGTAATTTGACAGATGGAAAATTTTGACTTGGGTGAGCATTGCGCAGATGGGGCATTATGTAATTTTTCCCCCCTCTATTTTATGCAGGTTCATATTGACAGAAATAAGCAGTGTCTAATGAGTATTTTGAGATGTTGTTCTCATCAAACAACACACACAGAGGAGGTGACTTCTCCTACTGTGGAGGGGGCAATGGAGGTTGATGAACCCTTAATGACTCCCTCTCAGGGCTGGAGTGTGTCTGGAGATCTGAGCCGGATGATTGGGAGTTTGGTGACTGAACTGATAACTCCAGATGTTCTGTATAACAACAGATTCTGGCCGGAGGAGGAATCCATACAGATGACTGTAGAGAGGTACAGTTAACAAGATTAAATAGCTATAAACATTCTGAAGGCATTTGATGGAGATGCAGGAGGAATTTTTAAAGCAATATTTCATAGTAAATTTGCTAATTTAATGTATGAAAATTTAAAAGAAACAAATTATTTCACTATTGGCACATCTGATATAACTGAGACAAAGTTTTACTGACATGAAGCTGAAAACATTGTTTTATATATATATATATATATATATATATATATATATATATATAATATATATTATATATATATATATATATATATATATATATATATATATATATATATATATATATATATATATATATTAGGGATGTCAACGAGTACCCGGTTAACTGGGTACTCGATCGAACGAACGAGTATCGAATACTAAAAATGGTACTCAGTTACTTGGATGTGTCTTTTTTCTTTTTTCAACGTACATATTTTTATCAAAAACCTGTCCAAAAAATAACTTAAATATGCATCAGTAATTAGCGTGTCGTCATCCACACCTGTAAAACACCCGCTATCTCACCTGTGACAGTGTATATACGGTAATTAGTGACCAATCACCTGGTACACAGCTGTTCTCACCTATTGCAGTCCTTAATTTTTGGATGGCTTCAATGATTGTTTTCAGTATACATGTTTAAGTATGGTCTATTATCTTCAAATCATTTTTAAATTATTAAGTTAATATACGGCAGCGAAATCGGACATGCATATAAATGCTGCTATATACCCACTTTAAAGATTTAAAAAAATGTTGAAAGTCAGTTTGCGTAGTAAGTTTAGTGTATATGGGGAAAACAACCAACATATGAAATAATATTAGACTAGCAATCCCAACAATGTTCGTTCCTTCTCTTTCGCTAGTCTAATCATCACAAACCTGCGTAACAGATTGTCCTCCTCTTGCGTTGATGAAATAGATCCTAAAGAAGAACTGTAAAAAAATTTTTTTTAAAGAAGATAGGCGTGTTTGGAGTATGATCTGCAGGAATAAGGCGTCGGAAACATTTATAGTTTAAATGTCTATGATTTGGTCGACTGACCACAGCTGGACATACTTTACAAGGTTATGCACATGGGAAAATGTTACATTTAGTTTGAAATACTTTGTCAAATTATAATATATCAGTCCGCTTATCTTAATAATTACTACATATAAAACTTAGTAACACTTCACATAAATAATAAACACCTATAGGGTATAGTTAAATGTAATTACAAGTACATGTATATATTAAAGTATCTGTAGGTTGGAAGAATTGCTTTCGCTTTCTCGCTTTCGGTGCAACAGAACCAGAATTTATCTTTTGAAAATTAAACACATAAAATTAAATTGACAAAAAAATTGTTTGTATTAAAAAAAATATTAATGCTCCATGAGAGGATCGAACCAAAAATATTTTTTTTTTCATTGCACTGGACGAGTAAGGCATACTACTGAGCTATCACTGCCACATACTCTTTACGGTTTTTAAAGCGACAATGAAGCACTGCATTTACACATTGGAATTTTTTCGGAAAAAAGTTCATTTTTTATCGTCTTAGGGTCTTCTCTTCATTTTTTTTTTTTTTTTTTTTACAAATGTCTGTTAGTTTCTTTGAATTAAAATGCACACAAATAATGTTTCAGAATCATGGAAAGATGACCCAGAGGTAGCAAATTTTTAGAAAAACGTGTTTGAAAATGAAACATTTTGTACCAAATGACTCATCTAGCCAATTTTCAAGTTCTTTTTTATAAAATCAAAATACAATATCGGGAAAATATTTCCCTTTCCTATTTCACAGGAACCCAAAACATCAAAAGAATGCTAAAATTTCATGTTGACAGATCAAGGAAATTTTCACTTTTCAAGTGTGCCCAGATTCCTGCCGAATGCCAATCAAAGGCACCCTCGTTCTTTTTGGTGTATTAATTGTGTCTTTTGTGTTTATTTGATAAATAAATCAGTACCAGAAACTCATACCCGTTGGACTCGATGTTTATATACATTTATAAAGGTGATAAAAACAGCTTTGGAGTTTAACACAGCTTAAGGGGGCTCAAGAAAATTAACACACTTGTATTTATATTTTTACCGAGTACCCGGGTACTTGATCGGAAAAAAGTCCGAGTAACCCATTATCAAAAATAGATCGATTTGACGTCCCTAAATATATATATATATATATATATATATATATATATATATATATATATATATATATATATATATACACACTAATAGTTTTTTTTATGAATTGTTCTGCTAAGTTTGTTGCTTTGTTTGTTGTAGGGATTTACAAATTTACAAAACAATGGAAGACAATCCAGTCTTATGGCAAATCCTTGACCTTTATGCTTCAAGTGAGTGTGGAGAAATGTCTAGGTTTGTGAGTAGTGTTGTAAGGGTATAGAATGGTTGAGAACATGGGATAGGTTTATGGGTAGTGTTGTAAATATATAGAATTGTTGAGAACATGGGGTTGGTCAATGGGTAGTTTTGTAATGGTATAGAGTTGTTGAAAACATGGGGTTGGGGGTTGGGTTAGTGTTGTAATGGTATAGAATTGTTGAAAACATGGGGTTGGTTTGTGGGTAGAGTTGTAATGGTATAGAGTTGTTGGAAACATGGGGTTGGTTTATGGGTAGTGTTGTAAGGTTATAGAATTGATGGAAACATGGGTTGGTTATGGGTAGAGTTGTATGGGTATAGAATTGTTGAAAACATTGGGTTGGCATATTACAGAAGAGTAATAAATTGTTGACATTCTTTGACTTATTTATGTTTAGGTCCCCTGACTATGTGTAGGTGCTCTCCCGTTCTGAAGTCTCTGACGGCATCACTTATGATCCACTTTGAATCATCGAGAGAGAGGACAGCGAGGAATACTCCTAAACAGCTGGAAGCAGCAAGCCATCTGATCAGATATCTTGGAAAGGTATCAGCTTTTTGATCTTTCTATGAAGCTGTATTTTGAAGGATTACAAGTGGAGAAAATAAGCTACTACGGTATACATAATTCTGTAGAAATGGCACAAGTCCAAGTGCAACTTTGCTGTTAGATTATTATGAATTCAAGCCAATAGAGCTACAGTCTCATCAGTAACTTTATATTTTAAAATAAGTTTATGTATGTTATTTGTTTGGAGTCTGTAGAAATATTGTTAAAATCATACAAAATCACTTGCAAAATGATTGATTGCAGTTCAAAAAATGTGAAATTTTCTTTGATAGAGTTGTCTCCTCCCAGCTCCACTGAAACATGTATCTGAATTGTTCTACCTTGCTACTTCCTATGAGGTCTACTTACTGTTGTTGTCTGTATGGAAATACATGAAGGTAAGAATCATACTCAAAACTGAAATATGTGTGTAAGTGCATCAATCAGACAAATATGTCAAGGGAGATAACTCTATGTCTCAATACATACTCGTGTCATTCAGTGAAATAATATTGTATATGTAAGACAATGAATCTCAAAGGCTTACTGGAGCTATGTGTATTGAGATAGAAGTTTGTCCAACGTCTGTCTGTGTCCTTTCTTCCATGTGTCTTTCTGTCTGTCTGTATGGAAATTTTGTACATTTTCAACTTCTCCATGACTACTGAATCTACCAAATCTACTTTTAAGAAAAGTTACAAAAACTTCAGTGAAAGCTTCTTTATGTAATGAATATAGAGAATTAAAAGGAATTTTGAAAAAAAAAAATCTGATAGCTCATTGGTTTTCCCAGTCCTTATCCATTCTGTTCACTGGGAGTTAGTCCCCATCTTTTTTACTGTTGACTGACTTTTGTAGGAGTTTCCTCCCACTGAAGATCCTGATGAGGTCAACACAAGAGGTAGTTAAACTTAGATTATACTACAATGTAATTAACTTCTAATCATCTACACTAAAACAGTGTTATTCAATAAGGAGTGTTGTTACCTGAGAAATGTTTACAGATTTACTGTCTTTCTGATATTATCATTTATTTTTTTAAATTTCAGGATGTGAACCGAGACATGTAGAGACGATCAAGGCGATTATGCATAATAATATTGACACCATGGGGATCTACTATGGACGATTTTTCTCAATGTTTTCTTCCTCAGATTAATAAAATTAAATACACATTCAGCATTTGTTATCCATAATATGTGTGGGCCACATCACTCACTAATAAATGAAGGGGCAGGAAGCTGCTTTTGGTCACTTTCCAACTAAATACATATGGGATAGTGGATTTCATACATTATCTTATTGATATATGGTCACCTTCTGCTCAATTTCAAACATTATAAAGAAGAGACTTCATTCTGTAATTACCTGAAACCATTCCCTTTTAAGATTCTACATACTGAAGGCTTCGCTATATTTTATTGTTTTTGAATTTTACAGAAAACTGGTGTAAGTACATCATAGATATATAGTTCAAATTTCAGGTACAGCTCTTGATCCAAAAAATAAGACATGTAGAATAACAAGTAACAATCTCATCAATATACACTTTGTAATTTTTAGATTGGAGGTTGTGCTGAATTCATAAATTTGAAGAACAGCTTGAAAACTTGGGTTATTTTGCAAGAAATTTTCAAGATCAATCAAAATTTGATGTTACAATCCATATGTAACACGAAGTCAGTTATGATGGGTTCAGTTGATGTTTTAGTAACGTTGTTCAGTAAAGTTAACCAATTTTGATTCTGCATAATTTTATGGGGCCAAATACAGCCCTTTAGAACCTTGCTCTTTCTCAAACTGTTTTTTATTCTAGACTTCAGATCAATTGAGCCACAGTACATAATGTACATGACGTATGATTGACACATTTCTATATGCAGCTCTATTTTATACCGTGTAGCGGGTTAATTTAGCGGGGTGCTAATTTTGGTGTTTTGGTAGTAGTCCACTAAAATTTTAATCGCTAAAATATTCAGTGTTCTTCTTGGTGTTATTTTGCAAAGAGTTGGAACCCTGCATGTGTCTGTGAAAATAAATTACGCCAAAATTATTGGCATACCTTTAGCCAAGCAAACGCCAAATTTTACAGCCATCAAGAAAACCTCCTATACGGTTTAACTGTGACCACAGAATGATTTTATTCTGACAGCTTTATTGTGTGTAAAGTAAAAAAAAACTTCTTATCAAACTTTTATTAAAATAAAACAAATGAATATCCTGTTTCTATAATATCTTAAAAAGCAACTTGGGCTTAGACTACACTATCTTTTATCACTAACTAGCAGCATGTCTAATTCAGAGTTTAAATCAAAAAATAAACAAAACATTAGTACATGCAAAACATGTAACATAACAATAAACACAACGATATGAGGTATGAATAACGGTTAAGAATAAAATTACAAACTGCAGAAAACAAGATAATACCAAGGCAGCACTTCTATCAGTTTTAATGCTGCACCCTTCCCTGCCTCAATGTTAATACTGGAATAAGTATAAATAAATAAAACTTAGTATATGAAGACTCAATCACAGATTTTATCATATGTGTTTTAACATTAATTGTGTTTTTGTTCTATATAACAATGTTAGCAAGCCAAGATATAAAGCTGTGTCATTAGTTATGTCCCTGCATACAAGAAAAAGTACTTTCAGTCAGCAAAAGTATATTCCAGGGAAGCATAATTAATGCACACAATTCTATAAAAAGGGTAAATAGTACTCTTTTATCACATAAGCTCCTGTAAAAGTTTTTGCAATTAAGGTCAATTGTAAGAAAGACAAAGCTAAGTATCAGATCTCTCCTCCAGTTCTCCATTACATTATCCCTCTATTTTGCTGTCAATATTTCACTTCATTAGCACAGTTCTCAGTTTCCACCAAACTATGTTTTCCAATGACTCAATCCATCACTTCACATGTCCTGTATCACTGATGATGATCAACTCGTGTTATGGATATTTCATGTCTTAGTAAGTCAAGAAGTCTCGGATACAAAGCAATCTACTGACCTAATACTAAAGATTTCTGAGAAGCATACTCAGTGACAATCAAATCACTAATCCTACACCCAGTTTCACTGGGTTCTAAATTTAGATCTGGATTTCTATTGGTCCAGCTTTGTTCACTAAGAATTCCCTGTAGTTTGGTGTCACAAGGTCTGAGCTCTTGATGCATTGGGTCAGGGCATAATCACAGCTCAATTTCTCCTCATCTGTTTGAAATAAAATTAGCTGTTATCACTGAGGGTTTTAATTCAATAACTAATCCAGTATTTATATCAACTTATCAAAACTTGTAATTTTTATGTACTTTTTTTGTGGCTTACCTTTGGCTATCCACTCCTGCTGAGCAATATACATGACAGCTGGTACACAATACTGGGCCACCCCAAGCTTGTCTGTGTCTGTAGAGTTCATCATCCACACAGGTAACATCAGGTGTTCATAATGCTACGAGATACTATACACTTATCCACTGGCTGTGAGTGGGATAGCTCTTTTATCAAACCCGCGACAGGAACTATTCCCCGAGGGCTTGCCCGAGGGGAATAGTTCCTGTCAAGGGTTTGATGAAAGAGCTATCCCAGTCACAGCTAGTGGATAAGCGTTTTATTATACTGATGTATATCATAATTTCTGAGGGTTGGATTTACCTGATACTACAGTTCGATAGTAAAAACATGAAAAAAAAATAATTATAAACGTTTTGAACAAGTATTTGGAATGAGATAACATTGCTAGAATGAGCTGAAATCCTGATGACGTCACAATGCTACTGAAGTCAGGATGACATCATAAGTCTATAGATTGATTACAGGAAATCAAAATTGACGGCAAAAATTGCATGAAAATTTTCCGAGGGGTTGATAGCAAAAACTATACCCCGGGGTATAGCTTTGCTATGTGTGGAAATTTTAAGACTATAAAGATAGTTATTTTACCTTCTTAACTTTATATAGGAAACATTTTAACAGAAGTATAATAAAAGAAATTGTCACTGCATGCATAATTTTTAAAGAGAAGTTAAAGCTTTTATGAAATATCTCGTCAGCTTCCTTTTCATCACACAATAGCTAACAAAGCTAGCAAGTAACTGATATGAAAATAATATGTGTCTGCACTGTACCTTAGGATAGCCAACGAATTTGTCCAGAAGTTCTAGTTCCTGAGGAGTTATTTGATAAATACACCCTTCCGTTGAGCAGAATGGATTGAACTCAATATTGGCAAAAGCACCAGCTTCTATATCAGATCCTTAAAAAAGAAAGTTTAACGTTGGACAATTAGTTATAATACTATCTTAAAGCATAAAAATATGATGAATAAAACTTGAAATAATACTGTACAAAACCATGCATGCTGCCAACTAACATGCTATTGCTCATGTCCCTCATCTACGTGACCTACTGGCCAGACAACGGATCTATATACTCCCTCCATTGAACCTGCTGACCAGATATGAATTTAATATTACCAGTACGTTTTCATGTGACTTTACAAAGAGCCTTAAAACTGATGTCACATTAGCACCAGACAACAAGCACTACAGAATGGATTGTTTTGCTTAGCCAGAGTAAAATTAGTTGTAAAATCACTGACAAGATAAATTTGAGGGATAATACAGAAATATATAGGGTCCTTGAAAATATGAATATCAGCCTCAGCGTAAGAGGCCTAAGCTGAGTCCAATATGCATACTGTATTTTCAAGAACCCCATATTTCTTTATTTACCTTGTATGTGTCTTTAAGTGTCTACATGAAACTAAATAATACAATATTAACAACAGTGACTCAAAACCAAAGCATCCCCTTGCAATCAGCTTTCACCCCAAAACAAAATTTTCATATACAAAACTGATAGGTGTTCATGACATAATAATCAATATTCACCACCTTTCTCATTTATAATTGACTTTTTTCTCTTGCCAAAACCATCTCTATCAAGTTGAAAACAGCACATGGTAATCTATTGAAGCTATATAAGGTTAAATAGTACTATGCATATTGTGTTTATCACATTGTGAACATTTACTTTGGGATACTATATTCAAAAGGCCTCATCTGGCCACTTTGCATCTATGTGGAAGTAACAGACTCAAAGTTCAAATGATATTCTTTTGATTTTACCCCAATATCAACAGGCCTCCCCTGGCCCTCTAGCATCCATGAAAGCCATAGCACCAAATGTGCAAAAGTTATGGCCAGTTAAAGTTTTTCAAAAGTAGGTCAAACTCCAAAGTCAAGGTCATGAATTAGAATCATAATGTTGGTATCAACAGAAAGGTCTTGTCACAAAGAATGCACATGAATTATAAAAACCATAGCACTAAGCATTCAAAAGTTGTGGTGGAGATTAGTTAATAAGGACAAATAGACAATCACCAAAAATTATATTCCCCTGAATCACCAATTATGGGGGCATAAAAAGCTACATAAAATACATACATTTAAAATATTTACCTTTTTTGTTGAAGACTAAATTAAAACCAAACAGCAATCCCCAAAATCTGTTTTTAACATTCCTCTGTATGTATGTAGAGATTCTGAAATAAAATGACATCTTAATTCTAAGTAATACAAAGTTCTCTTTACAGTTATAATATGAACTTATATTAATATATTATATTCAATACCTTGAGGGATTCATATCTGCACCATAAGCAAAGTAGTAGATATATCCCTCTGGGGGACGGGCATTGACAGTGAAGCACAGGGGAGCAAATGGGGCACCTTGTTGGGGATTTTCTTTCTTCTTGATTCTGAAATATATTTTTACTGTTGATGGAGGAAAATGACAAGGATATGCTGAGTTCAAGATACGTAAAAAAGTAATGAAACCTTGTCTTGAAATCTTATTAAATGAATACATACTTTGACTTCTGAATTTCTTTAGGATTAGCAATGACTTCTAAGTCAGCTGTTTCATTCCTGTAAAAAGAGTCAAACTTTGTATTTGTGATCTGTAGCTTATTTCTCAGTAACAAGATTGATTTCTATGGCTATACAACACTTACTGCTTCTTCTTCTCTGGAAAATTTCCGTAGGTCTGCAAAATAGAAGATGACAGATTACAACACGTTCTATGGTGGCAAATTTCCTAGCTGAGATTTAACCTTAACTCTTAACACATCAGCTTGACCTTCAAATAGTATGGAGTATCTAATAACAAAAACTTCACATTTTCCCATGTAGATTATTACCTGTTGTACATCAGGCAGTTCATCACACACCAGCTCTAGCAGAGTTTTATCCTCTGTCCTCTCAGTTTCGACCTGTCCTATATCACTGTTCTCCTCCACCTGAAGGTTCAGTCGAGGAACAGAGTTCTCTCCCTTCTGAGTAACATCACTTGAAGCCCTGCTGTATCCACTGTCTGCGATAGAAATGTCAGAAATTGTGTGTTTCAAACAATTATCTTCCAATGAAGATAGATCATTGCTTCTGCTACTGTTTCTTTCAAAATGAAAACTGTTCCTTCTGCTCTCCGTATTTCTGTGTTCCCTTCTTTCTCTCCATGCTCCACCACTTCTAGGTCTTGATACTGGTTTTCTTGCAGAAGTTAAGGCTTCACTTATGATACCACAGTTTTCACTAACTTCCATGCACTTTATGCGATACACATCCAATAAGGTGGAATAATCACTCATGTCTTCATGTACACTTTCATGTTCATTTTCAGTGGGTAGACATATCAAATCCATGTTGACTTCATCCACATGACTTTGATCATCACTGTTGTCATCTATAGAAATCCTGCCCATATTTTCAAATTTTCTCCTCTCCTCAATGTCCTCTTTCAAAGAATTCAGTTCTGCCTCAATCTCCTCAAAAGTTAAGGTTCTTTCCTCCTTTAAGTCCACAGAAACTCCATTTTTCCCCTCAATTTCCACAAACACAGACTGTCTTGGGGGCTTCTCTCCTTCAAAATACACTTTAGATTTCCTTGCTGTAAGTGTTTCTGTAGAACTATGAGATTCTTTTGACACCTTCCTCGACTTTCGAGTTTGCTGGTTAGCTGAAGAAGGTCGAATAAGCTTGTTGGTTTTATCTGTTTTAGACTTGACAAAGCATGAAGTCTGACTCCGGGCCGGACTTCGAACTGGACTTCTGGAAGGACTTGGAGACCGACTGCGATGTGGACTCTCTGGACCCACAAGATGATGAATGCTTCCTCCATGAATCACAGTTTGTATGTTCAGCACACTTGGGGTTGAACTTTCTTGACTAGATAGTAATGTGTAAGGTGTGCTAGCACCAGATTTCTTTGGCTGTTCACTACATGTTGCTAAGAGCTGTGTTGTCTCTATTTTTAATTCCTCTTCTGTAGATTTTTCTGTATGAGGATCAACATTATTTTGTTTCCCATAATTCTCTTTGTTCTCATCATTTCTTTTCTCACTCTTGCCTTCACTGGTACCACTCACTTTGCTGGTTCCCTTCTCACTAGAATTTTGCTTTGACCCTTCACCTCCTTGTCCATTAGGGTCCTCATCATTGTCCTTCTTTTTCATATCATCTAAATCACTTGTTTTACATGTTTTCTTTCCTTTCTCTTCTTTTTCTTTTCTGTCTTGGCTTTTAACAGTGACCTCCACTTCCATAATATTCTCATCCTGTGTGTTGTCTTTGACAGCTTTCTCTGGATGGACACCATCAGAAAAGCGGACATTTTTAGATTTATCCCCCGGGGTTTCTGGTCTCTCTGGTTCCTCAAATGTCGTCAACAGTGTGTTGTCTGGCTCCAGTCGTCGGGAGGCATTGTCATTGAAGTTAGAACTAGAATCTCCTTTCTTCAAGAAGTTTTCTCTTGTACTTGTTGACTGCAGCTCTGTCAGGTTTCTTGGGGTTGGTGTTGGCTGAACTATAACAAATATCAATAGATCAATTCAATAAATCTCTCTGAAATTTGAATTTAATTTATTCTTAAAAATAGAGTTTATTGTGATTGGAAAAGGCCTATATATATGTAGATAATTTAAGGAAGATTACTTTTACAACATAAGGTCTAGACATACTCTGTACATGGACGTATGAATTCATGAGTGCAGTTTGCTTTAGAGGACAAATAAACTTACGCATTCCATCCACCACTTTGTAAGTTGTTGCCATGGAAGCTGGTGGGGCTGCTGGCATATTGACATCTGACTCCACAGGTGACAGTCTACCTCACAAAATTAAAATGAAAAGTTATACACACATGAACTCATACTACAATTAAGTAAAACACCAAGTGTCCTCCTTAAACTGCACTAACCTGCTGGTGTCTGGAGGGGTTTCCTCATCATCTTTGAGTTCTCGATTCTCATCAATACTAGAGGCTGCTGATGTTCTGTGAATGGACTCTACGGTACGAGGTCTGTCATACAGGAATTCGTGAACATTGGGAATTCTCTGGATTAATTCCCTTCTACGAGTCAGCGTACGGTTAGGTGGAGCTGCGTAACTTCTTGTTTCTGAGATGTGATCAAAGTAAATCTTTGAAATACTAGAATACTAAACCATGTATCTTCCCTTAGATACATTTATTCCAAAGCATGATAAAATTCAAGGAGAAAAAATTACATTTGTACATATTTAGTTAATAATTATATCTATAGTTGATTCAATGTTTCAAAAGTTTTCAAAAAGAAATGCCATGAGAAATTTGACAAACCTGACAGAATTCCTCTGCAGTTTTTAACAGATGGCCCTTCTATATTAACAGGTTTTAAAGGTTTCAGCCTAAAATACAAAACAAAACACAAAACTATAAATATGAAACTCTTTTGATATGCGTTGTGTTCATCATTCCAAACCATTGTATTGTGTGAATTTTGAAAAAAAGGTCAATTGTCCAACAGAATTTTCTTTGATGTCATTTCATAAATTACATGTAGTTAAACTGTAGTTTGTTAATCTCAGGGAAAAAAAATCTTTTTAAATAAATATTTCAAATATATCAAAAGATACTGTTAATGAGTCTAGTTCTTGCATGTACCTGTACTGTTCAGTTTTGAAGATCCAATTAAATATTTTCATAAAATGTCCATGCTTATGAGGACTTTTAAATCAATATCTAATTAACTACTCCTGTGTCTTCATGATCATGTACAGAACTTTAAGAAGATTAAAATTGAAATCTAACCATTTAATTTTTGTAGCCTTCCTTCATAAACCTCTCTGGGATTATCAGTGATTATAACATTAACCACACTTGAATTATATTTATTGGCCTTGAGTAGATTAATCCTGCTACGTAAATCTGTACACCTCACTCTCACCACTGTAAAGACCAATAGTGGTTACCTTTATCGGTACAACATGTAGACATGTAGACCTTGTAACAGGTGCATAAAGACCACAACCAGAAATTGACTACATTTACTGTTGCATTTTGCACATAAACAGTGGATAAACACAGGGACAAACCCTCATTGTAAGCTGTAAATAAATTGCTAATTTATAATATGAAGGTTGCAATATTTGAGCATGTTGACATACAATGCTTTTCCCATGTGAAATTTGAAATCTGTGCAAAACAGAACAAAATAAATCACAGCAATGTGCTTCTTTACCATATGTATTCACCAATAGGATAGATGGATCTGAAAATCAGGAGGGGAAGTAATTCTGGTCAAAGGTGGTTTCATAAAGGTTAATTTTAGTTATTACATACACGAATTACATTTAAATATTAATACACTGTAGATAATATATTTCACTGAATAACATTAGAAATTAAGGAAATGGAATGATTCTGATGATTTTAGGCATATACCAGTAACAGTTAATGCCATGTGGAAGAAAGATAAAATATACACTGTTAATCAACAGGTATTCAAATACCGTAAATAAATTATTATAGCTAAATAATAAAAGTAAATGCAAATTAGTATTTCATTAGTATCAATGTGCACTAAAAGACTTTCCATTACTAGACTATTCAGGCCAATAACTAGCAGGAATAATTTCTCAAATTAGATTCGACTAGCCCTTGTACTTTGCAGCATAAATACATACATAGTAAAGAACAAGAAAATATAAAATTCCAGCAAACTGGCTGAGTACTTTCCTACATTAAACTAGCCTGATCAAATTTTACTGTGCTGAAAATTTGGCTAAACAACATTTTTCTAATGATCAATGGAGAATTTAGTGTCCCAAATATACTTAAAATTTGGTACATTCAATGACCCAGATATCCTCCCTTTGGGATGTTTAGTCCCCCCTCCCCATCCCATACAGATATTCCTAAACTTGGAATGTTAGTCCCCCCTTTCCATCCCAAACAGATATTCCTAAATTTGGAATGTTAGTCCCCCCTCCCCATCCCATGCAGATATTCCTAAATTTGGAATGTTTATTTCCCCCTCCCCATCCCATACAGATATTCCTAACTTTGAAATGTTCAGTTTCCATATACATTCTCTCTGGAACATTCAGTTTCTCCCAAATATCCTCATTTTGGAATGCTCGGTCTCCCCCTCCAGATATACTCACTTTCCCTTAAGCAACTTTCCCTGGACTTTCTTCTGTTCTGGTTTATCCCTCTCCTTAGATAATACCCTTCCCACACAATAGGTGGCTACTGCTGTCCGTTCCTTCAGCTCAGCGGCAGGGGTTCTAACACTTGATCTATCCTACAACAAAGAGCAACATTGAAAACATTTTTTAAACCTTACATAAACTGATATTTCAGCAACTCTCATTCTCGAATGCTTTCAGCCATATTTTAGCTTTCTCTATAACAATTCATCATGCTTGTATTTTCAGCAACACATTTTCATGAGGATGAATAATTACACTGAATGTAGAACTGTCATCAAAATCCCTTTTCTGTGTTATGGCATGCTTGAATGGTGACTTGACATGCTGGTTTGCTCTTGAGGTTGGATTTGGTGAGAGGAAAATCATGGAGGAGGGTGTTCTGGCACCACAGCGGGAGGAGCTCCTATATAGAAGTGCAAAACATGCTGTTTATAAAGCTAAGCAAACAAATATCCATGACAAGCCTGAATGTTGAAATATTTGCAGAGTTTTAAAGTAGAAATATTGCATATCTTGGTACCAGTACTTACAACATGCTAACACTTGCAGGCATATGTTATATATGCCTATGTTATATACATGTATGTTCTGTGTGTTGTGTGATATTGTGATTTCTGAACAACTATACAGTATTACTATATACCTGAAGATATTATTTCTCTACTATCACTGCACATGCAAATACATGTAATGCTATTCTATAAGAATTCTATCTATTCTAAAAAGAAGGAAATTAAGTAAAATTCTAACCACTGTTTGCATAGTCATATAAGGGTAAAAAACATTTAACTGTAAGATTTCCACTGCAAATTTCTTGAAATCTAATCTGAAATTCATATACACCACACATCAAAGGTGAAATTTCCTGCAACACTTTACTCATAGAGATCGTGTCATTAAATGTTAGCAAAATGAGTTATGTTAAGGCTTAGAGGGAAGATCAATCTATTGCATTTGATATAATAATCATTATATAATCTTTTTCTTCCAGTGTTAGACAATTTTTATTCTTCAAGGTTATTGGCTCATAATTACTGAATAAATTATGTGTGACATACAATGTAAAATACTGTAAATGCATTACACTTAGCATGTACGATATTTGGCAGAAATTGATTTTGAACAAGTTAGTGTAGATTTGATTTAGAGCATTTCTTAATTCTTATTTATGTGTATATGTTTAAGACATTTAGCATTGTACTTAAATTGGCGGAAGTTGCTTTCTGCCAAAAAGAATACACAGCCAAATGTAATACATTTACAGTATATTGATTTAAATTATGTATCAGACCATCTCAATGCTTTGTGTTCATGCAAATGTGTAACTGTGCAATTTTATCACATTAGGAAATGTGTTTTAGACATGCCTTCCCATATTGTGTCATGAGCAGTTCTACACAGACAAGAGTTTCCAGGTGTACACTACTCCAACTTACCACTGTGAACTCCGCTTGTTATTAGCGCCAATTGTTTTTCGAGATATTTTTCTGCAATTGTATGTGCAGGAATTGAAATGCATCAAACAGAAGTTAATGTTTTTGATATCATTTCAAAGATCAGGAAAATATTAATGTACCTAATGCCACAAACATAATGTTAAACGCTTTACATTTTACCAAAATATATTCAGAACTTTTCAAAAGCCCCTGGTATGTTACATTTTAAAGCATTCCCGGTGATTTGATTAAAGGCCTTGAACTAGCTTGCTACAGTTGCTTTACCTTATAACAGTATACTCTTTGTGTTGATTTAAATGCTTAATCATGGAGATCAAAACCTTAAAAATTATCACCTGGGATTTTAATATACGTCATCTCTAGCTATTGTTTAAGAGTTAATTGAATTAAGTTAGCTATGACAAAAGAGCATGTCACTCTGAAAGCATTGGCAATACCTGTGGTTAAAAAATGAAATTTCCATCTTAATTGATTTTAGTTAGCAATATTGCATGAATTATATTAATTTGTAACAAATGCAAACCTAGGAGGAACAGGGGAGCTGTACGGAGATTTTGCTGTTGCCCAAAAAGGAAAATTCTGATTGGTTGATATAACTGGAGTCTTGGATCTTTTGTCTTTATGGGATCCATTCTTAGACGAACAGTTAGCCTCCCGTTCTACAACATAATGCACAATATGTTTATAGCCAGTTATAACAGCATTATAATTTTTTATAGGTTTTCTAGCCTCTGAATTTTTATAGCAAATACATATAATCATTTCATGTAAACTAACTGCATATTTAATGTCTTGGTAACTACAGAGTTAAGTAATAATGCAAAACAAGACAAAATTTCAATAATTAAGTAACCCGCATGTATACTTACCTGGATGAAACTCTTTTTTTGGCAATGTGGTAACATTAACAGAAATCACAGACATTTTGTGGTAATTAGCCTAACCTGACTGTTTTTGGTAATTAGCCTAACCTGACAGTTTTTGTCCCTTTCTCCCATACCAAGAGCTTGCCACCACTGGGAAGGTTGTGTGCCAGCGGTGGAAAACGAAGGGGTTGGGTAAACTCCTCTCCAAAACAGACCTATCTTCCATATTTATCACAGAAAACCCATGCTTACCAAAGATTGCCAAAAATACCTGAATAATGCCCATCTAAAGTTCAATGGGATAATTTAAAGTGGCATTGTTTATTGAATCTTGATGATAACTTAACAGTAAAGGTGTCAGAGAGACAAAGAGATTTGGATCCCAACACGTTAAAAGGATTTAAAGTCTGTACATTTATAAATTCTTTATTGATTGAACTTAGGTAAATCACCCAACTACACACATTCACATCCACACCATTAGATAAAATTCAGTATGACAAATGACAAAAACTGTTTAGATCTATTCTGAGTTCAAAACATAAGCTTAATTGACTTCTATACTAGCCTTTTTTATTTCCTAATATGCAAAGAGCATCATTTTGCAACAACAAGTGTCTGCATGAGCACCTCAATCTAATCAAATTTTTAATCAGGCTTCTTAGACCCGCACTGTAAACACTCGTGTACACGGCCCAGATCTAAGATTTAATTAGATTGCAAGCACGTGGACAATAATTTAACTACACATTTACATTTCATGTCACCCAAGGGAGCAAAAATAGCAATATCAGAAAGTTCAACAAAATATGTGAAAAGAAATAGTATGTACACTTTCAGTCTTTGACAAATGCCCCTAAACACTAAATTTTACTGTGTACTTAAATGCAGTTCACATATGCAAGAGATCTACTTCAAATTTTGTGTCACTCGTAGACTATTGTTTTCATTACTATTTTTATATATTCCAATTTAGAAACATTAGTGTTAGTGATAAATTAATTAGACCTGATGTTTCTATTCTACTACAGACGGAATCTTACCTGCCATCAGCTGTTGTAATTTGTCTGGTGAAAGGTTATCAATACTCAAAAACGGCTCGGGCTGCAAAATACAAATATTTCAAAACCTTTAGTACAGATTAAATTCAAGCCGTTAAGAATTTATACCAATAGTAAAACATTTTTACCGTCTAACTGGTTGAATGACTTTATTGAAAAAATGTTGAAATATAATGAAAAAAAATTCCTTTTACACATCTCTTTTCTCTTCTTTTTTTAACAGGTAAATTAAATGAAGGTTATATCATTACACTATCTGTTATCAACTTTTCAGGCACTTAGCTATGGCACGCCAATTTCACAAAAAATAGCGAAACATAGTTTCACAGTTGATAAACTAGGTTTATCGACTGTAAGCTATAGTTTACAAACCGTGAACTATAGTTAACGATTCGTTAACTATAGTTTTCATCTGTAAAACTATATTTAACGGTTGTTAACTATAGTTTACGAATGCTAATGTAAGTTTATCTGTCTGTAATTAAACGTTAACAATAGATTTTGTTGATAAACATAGATTCACATCTGTAAACTATAATTTACAATCGTGAACTATAGTTAAGAGTTGTTAATCATAGTTTCACAAATCGTGAAACTATATTTATCAGATAAAATATGTTTTACATTCGTTAACTAGAGTTTTCGGTCGTAAACTATAGTTAACTGTCATTTATACTCACAAACAATATTTAACAGACGTAAACTATACTTATCGATCGTAAACTACAGTTTTTAGAGCTAAACTATGATTCACATTTGCCAATCATAGTTTATCGTCATAAACTATAATTCACACTCATAAACTATAGTTAAGAGTTGTTAAATATAGTTTATGAATCTAAACACCTGTTAACGATAGTTTTTAATTCAAAATTTCGCGGCAACAATCGCGAGAAATTTATTTCTTTACGTTTTTAGCCTCGGTACTTTTATGGAATTTTCGTATCTTAAGAATACTGGTTTTTCATGCACGAGCGATTTAGCGCTCACTATAAATGCATTTACCAGGTATTGTTCGATTAATGCGACGTTCGTTACAAAGAATCGCAGGTCGTTTTGTGTCTTTGGCTTTCCCTGCCCGCCCAGCCCTTGCATTGTTTATTTTGTAAAATTTATATAATTGATTTGTGTTATTTTGAATAAAAAGCGATTTGTAACGAACGCAACAATCCTACAATATATTCTTTTTCTTTGTTTTTCAATAAATTAGTCAAGAAAATATTTATTTTCGGAGGAGTGAAATGAGGGAGAAAATAAGGAATGGGATTGGTGCAGAGAATATAAGGACACGTGTTGAGCATTATCTAAAGCAAAGACCGAGTTATATATAATCAATATTACTTTCTCTATTTAAACAGGATTAATTGTATTTGTTTTAAAATGTCGTGTATATATACATTTCCTATAGGAAAGTTTTAAAAATGTGATAAAATTTTAATTTCTTTTGAATATTACGAGATTTTTGCTCAAGCAGAGGAGGGTGAAGCGCATTTTACAAATGTGCCAAGCATTTTCCCGCCACATCTTATCACCAAAACAAAGAAACTGAAAGAGAGGAAATGCAGTGGCGGATCTAGATGGAGTTGTGGGGGTTTCAACGTCCTCCTTTGAATTTGAGAGAGAGAGAGAGAAGTCCCAAATATTTGTTGTGTTTTACTAAAATAAATGTTCCGTAAAAGGCCACTTTTATTTATGTATGAAGAAAATTCCGTTGTTGAAAAATAAATTCCGCGCCAGCAATGTTACATGCACTGTGTTATGTCTATATTTACAGAATAATATAAGATATACATGTATTTTATTAATAACAGATCACGCATTTCAGTTTGTTGCCTCATAAAAGGAACAATTTGACGCTTGCTTCAATATGTTTCTTGTTCATTATTGTTTGATCAGCACAGTTCTAAGGTTGGAAAGACGGCAAGGATAGACAGACCGTTAACATGCATTTCTCTCTATTTTTCTCTTTTAAATTAAAAAAAAATAAAATTTTCATCAATAATTTTCCTGTCATTTTTCTTCTTATTTCCAACTAGATTTGCTTTAAAATAATATAACATTTACTTTTAATGCCAACAAGAAATATACATGCATATATATTTAACAACAATTGTCGTTACATGTATAGCAAAATCTTATAATGCAGTAACTAGGCTTAGCCGATATATAATTTACAAAAAAAACTATAATTGTTAACTATAGTTTTGATCGTAAACTATGGTTTAGAGTCGTGAAATCTAGTTTCACAGAAAATTGTGCATCTCCGATACAAAATAAGAGATTCTGTTCCAAAACTCTGTTTCTCAAATGTAAAACTATGTTTATCGCATTTTTGTGAATTTGGTGCTTTGTATGTCTGTAAAGTATACTTTACAAACCCTAAACTATAATTTACATTTGTTAAGTATAGTTTAGAGATGTAAATCATAGTTTACAAATCGTGAAACTATATTTATCAGATAAACTATATTTTGCAGTAGCAAATGATTGTTTTCCGTGTTAATTATAGTTTACGCTTGTGAAACATAGATTATCGTGTGAACTATAGTTTACAGATGTGAAATATAGATTATCATCGTTAACTATAGTTTACGGTCCGTAAACTATAGTTTACAGTCGATAAACCTAGTTTATCAACTGTGAAACTATGATTAGCTCATTTTTGTGAATTTGGCGTGCCATACTTAGCTTTGAACTTCATATCATTATGAATTATTCATAAATTCATAGGTCTTATAGTGCTTCTAAAATAGCTAAAACACGTATTCAAATCACATACAAACTGCAAACATATTTGAATGTGTGCCGAGCAGTGCCATATTTTCAGTTGTGAACATGAGACATAAACAGAACATTTAAAAGCACTAAAGAAGTGTCAATGAGTATCTGATCATCTGAAGTGTTTCAATGCATTTGATAATCTTAGTGTGGGTATGATCGATCTTTTTTATAACTCAAATCCTACTGCTGTTTTAGATAATGTTTAGTTTACAAAAAGGCATAGATACTCTCTGGAAAATGGACAATTATAACTTGAGGTAAAATCTTTTAATATTTTAATATCTTAGAAGTTGAAAAAAATTGGGGAGGGGGATGACTTTATTATTATCTATCACTGATGAATTTTTTGTTAAACCCATGTCTGATAATAATAAACTTTAATTTTACTTCTTTGCAGTTGACATTAATGCAATTAACAGAGTGTTTAACAGAAAGGGAGTGTAATTATTATTAAGAAATAAGTAATGAGTTAGCACTGTTAATTAAACCATTCAATGTGTGAAGCTTGATATTAACTGAAAAATCTTTAATTATTAATATAAAAGAACTACTTCAAATTTTAAATAATGCTTTTTAATTTAATGATCGTAAGGCAATGCTCTTTATCCCAATCTAAGATTATGTGTAATGCTAATCAGGTGCAAAAATTTGCTTTATGGCTATAGCACTAAAATTGTTTTGTAATTCTTTTATTAATAGGACATATTTGATTAGCCAAATTGAAACACTCATTCATTTCTGTTTGGAATAGTCTACTTTGTAATATGCATGAATTTATTCTGTCATAAAACATTTTTATTTCATAACATATATTGTTGAGCATGCATTCATGTTTAGGATGATGGAAACAAAAAGAAGGATAATTGTTTTGTGGACCCCAAAGCCTCTAGCTTTGTAGGATGTCCATGTTGATACATTCAAATACTGCTACATGTTGATACGTAATGAAACAGGTTACCAGCAAATGGGGAAACAGGCCCAGCCAGAAAAAAGGAGGAAAAGAACCAGTTAAACACAAAAACTGAATGTAAATATTTTCTTACAGGGTTTTCCATCACTTCTTCAATGTTTATGAATAAGGAAATCAATGAGTACTTTTCTTTGTTCAATTTCCTGGCTAGACCATGAAGGTATGTTATCAATTGTGATTTGGAATGTACACAATTTGGATTGTAAAACAAATGAGCAATAGATTATTTCAAATGTTTTACAAATGTACATCTGATTTCAATGCATGTCTGACCTTCTTATTTGATACCTTGAATAAAAAAGTATAACTCTAGTATTATGATATTTAACCTTTGTACAGTGTATGGTCTTTCTTGACTAGTACATGTAATTTATTGTATTAAAAAAATAAAATACACCTCAAAAAAAGGTATGTGCCACCTCAATTCCTATTCACATATATACAGTTGAACTTCGGTATCTCAAACACTGATATTTCGAATACCATAGATATGTCGAAGTGATTTGGAAGTTCCAACTGTTTCTTCTTCAAGTACTGTATGTGTACTTAAAAAAGCGGGCTTCATATTTTAGCGGCTTTGACGCGGACAACAATGCGCTAATTCATGAATACCACCAAGAAATCATTTACTAATACAATACAAGGCACGGACATGTGTAGCGCTAATTCATGATTACGCCAACAACTACATACCCCTTGATTGCGCTAAATTTTGAATATGCCAATTTATGTACACATACAGTATTTTACCCTCAATAACTCGAATTCTTGGATATCTTGAAGTTTTTTCTTTGTACCATCAAGTTCAAGATAACAAGGCTTAACTGTATATTATTCATGTTCAGCCTATGATCACCTTTCATATTCATTATAACAGGTATAAGAAACTTTTACCAAATTTTTTAATTATTAAGAGACATAAATATTCACATTTTAATTTATGTTTCTGATTGTTATTAGGTACAAAAAGAACTAAGAATACAATGACTTTATATAAAACCTATAATGTAGCATATGGGTTATAAAAGGATCAATTCATAGTAACATGACTTCTGCAAGTCACACATTTGATTGTATGATGTAATAAAATATTTAAACACTTTTATGTGTTTTTTGCTTTAATTCAGAGCAATATGCCATATTTCTCATGAGCAGAATGGTACCAGGATGCATGTGTACTTGCACCAAGATCCAAAATTAGTTAATTGCCTATTGAGATCTAACTTATGATCTAACTTAATAGCTAGTATGAAATGAAGGGTTACAGGCATATTGAAGAGAAAAGTGTGTATTACCTCGTGTGGTTTAATAGGTCTCGCTCTTGTCTTTATGTAAACTGACGATCTACCGGTCTGACTTTTTTTGTCATTGCCAGCAGACATCACTTTCCTCGATCCCGACTTTGTCCTCGCAGAGGTCCTAAAACTCTGCGTAGTGTGGGTCCTGTCAGTGTTGTGTAGGGGAATGTCTACCTCCAGCATTAGATCTGGATCTAGATCCAAGTTTATATCAACCGCATTATCGGATTTAGCTGAGGACCCTCGAACCATAGAACGATTCGGTGATAGGTCATCCACTCTCTCTCTCTTTTCTTGCTCCGTCATATTTTGTTAATTCCAGGATTAACAATTTAATCGCGTGTTCAAGGACGTTTATCTACATATTGAATATTAATTCACTCAAACAACATTATATGTTTTGAATCATCGATTCAAAACAAACTTTTTTTTTCCTCTTGAAGCTCTTCCCATGCGTTGTCAACCATATTGTTTATATTCTTTTCACAAAGATTATATCTGCTTGCGCGAAAAAAAAATTTCCAATGATCACTTTTAAATCACATAATATATATAATTTCCATTAACTGGACTTTGTTTGTACACTTACATCCTTTTACATAGATTAAATAAAGATTTTGAAAGAAAATATCAATTCATGTTTATTAAAATATTAATCCGCAAGTGGTGAAAGGGAGACGACTTGCACGAATACAGAAGGTAACTCGTACAACAGATCATTAATCGCACCTGCAGCTGAATATTAAAAAAAAAGTGCCATAGGAAAGAAAGACTTGTACAAAAAAGACAGAAAGCAAAAGAAGGAGAAATGGAGAGTGGTTATGACCCCCCCCCCCCCGTTTCCGTAATGAATTTTTTTAACCCATAGTGTATTAATAATTTTATTATTATCATAATAATGTTACTATTATTCTATGAGTTAAAAAACTATTACAGAAACAAGAGCAAGTGATCCCTTCCCAAACTATTGGACTATGTCGTTTGTAAGATATTTATGTAGTGCATTCCATGTATGGAAAGTAGGGAAAAGGGGAAATTTAATTATAATCCATCATGCCAAAAAAATATACACCAGTTAATCATACACATGGAAATCGCATTTGACATTTTTGCTTCAAATGATGTTATTATTAAAGGTGATTCCACAATAACACTTTTGTGGGTTCAAAATTAGGGTGGGGGTGCATTAATTTCCACTAAATATAGTTTTAAATAATTAATATTCACTAAAAATGTATAGGTCGCCACACATACGGAGCCCCGATTTTCCCAATGGCGACAGAAACCTCATTTCAATTATGACTTCTGTCTCGGATTATGCCAGACGAGGGGTGTTATATGAAAGGAAAGACATGAAAACATGAAAAATGGATTAAGTGTTTTAGAAATATATTGAAGAATCTTTGACAGGCAATATGCAAACCATATATCCTTCCGTGTTCATTAGATCGAAAGTGATAAAAGAATTCAAAAGACTACATGGACAATATGTAATGGTTCCAGCAGACAAGGCTTGCTACAATACCATCTTTGTTTGTAAGGTTCATTCTTACAACTGTATTTTAGACTAAATTTATTTTAACTTTACATCTGGAAATCCAACTTATACTCCCAGTTCACGTTCTAAGGATGAAATTCTTCAAAACCACATTTCAGTCTTTAAAACTTTTAACATTCCAGTCAGCGAAAGTGAGTTCGATCTACCCTCTATTTACTTGATTAACTTCAAAAATATTCTTACAAACATATTGACTGTTGTAAACGTATTGTACAACAGCATATTTGAGAAGTGGTGTTAATCAAATGTGAATTCTAAAAAAAATCAGAAGAACTTCAGTTTTAATAAATTTAAAATCACAATTTTTTTTTCAAAAATAATGACATAAGACGTATGACTTTTCTACACTTTATACAAATATTCCTCACGATAAATTAAACATAGCCTATGACTTTTCTACATTTTATACTATATTTCTCACGAAAAATAAACAAACACTTGATTTTTTATATCATAGACAACTGCTTCATCAATAAAAACGGGAATTAGGAAAAATTCATAACTTGTGATCTCAACAAAATTATTTGTAAGAAAAAAAAATCACTGTGATTCTACACGTATGCATTATAAGTACTTTCAGGTTGATATTATAAGGATGCTAGAGTTACTCATTAACAACATCTATGTAGTGTTTTGAGACCAGGTCTTGAGACAGTTGGAATTCTGAGGACACTAATTGTGCTCCTTTATTAGCCGACCTTTTTTATATGCCTTTACAGCAGAATTACGCGTAATTCAAAAACTTTTACATGAGAAGAAAGCACTTGCTGTGACCTTCAACTCGACATTCATCTCGACGACGATTTATCAATTAACAATAGACACATATATCCCAGTGAACATGAAATAAAAGACACCACAGAGTCTGCCACATCTGTTTCATATTTGGATGTTTTACTGACTATAGACGTTAAGGGCAAAGTAACAACTAAACTGTATGACAAATGAAATGGCTTCAGCTTTTCCATCGTCAACATTCCTTATTTATGTAGTAATATTCCACTTCGATACTTAATACTATAATACTATCATGTTGTAAATTTTGAATTTACTAGGGGGAGGTAAATGCAAAATTTACAACATGAGTTATCATGTTGTAAATTTTGCATTTACCTCCCCCTAGTAAATTTAAATTTACAACATGATAATACTTATAGAGAAATTACATGCAAGCAGTAGGTATGCAACGAAACTAACACTGACTCAAAGCATTTGAATAAATTGCATCCTATAAATCCTTCAGCTTTTCTATCGTCAACCTCCCTTATTTATGTAGTAATATTCCACCATTATTTGCGAATAGCGTTTATGTCTGCCAACTATTCGATACGCGAGAACATGCTCAGAGTACGATCAGATTCTAAACCGAGTCAGCTTCTAATAAATGAGTTGATGTTACAGGGATTTCAACAACCTCATTTACATCAGCTTTCCGAATATGAATTTCTACTGTAGTTATAATGCTCTTGTTTGCAAATACAACCTATCATTGCATTGGGTTGTATTTTGACTGACATGTTTTATACCAATTGTTAGGCCACTGTTTTATACAAAAATTGATTACGAATTACTTTATCTACCTTATCAATACAAAGGGCTCACGGCAGGTGTGACCGGTAGACAGGGGATGCTTACTCCTCCTAGGCACCTGATCGAACCTCTACAGTTTCCAGGGGTCCGAGTTTTATGCTCTGTTCACAAATGTGTATTGTACTGAAGAATCTTGAGATCAATCACCGTTCGTTATCTACTCTTTTTTATTGTGGAATATCTATAGAAAATCCGCTGGTCAACATGGATACCTACATTCAGCTCAGTGATATTACGGATACTTACACTCCGCTGGTCAATACGGATACCTACACTAAGCTCAGTGATTATCACGGATACTTACACTCCGCTGGTCAACACGGATACCTACACTCAGCTCAGTGTTATTACGGATACTTACACTCCGCTGGTCAACACGGATACCTACACTCAGCTCAGTGTTATTACGGATACTTACACTCCGCTGGTCAACACGGATACATACATTCAGCTCAGTGTTATTGCGGATACTTACACACCGCTGAATATCACGGATTCTAATTACTACCAGCTGGTCTTGTCTTCTTTACTGAAGGAAAACTATATTTAAAGTTTGATTACAAACGAATGATTATGCATGTTTCATGATTTAGAAACCTGAGAAGAAATAAATATTCACAGAAGCAAAACAAAGTATGAATTGCTGTACGGAGATTTTATTGTAGGTACTAGTATTAAAAGATATCACATAATGCCGATTGCAATGTTGATCTTTTAAAGATATCTTTAAAAGATATTTCGATACCAGCTGATCCGACTAATTGATCGTGTGTCCTAATCTGTCTTCCCTTTACAAAACATCCACATTCCAATCACCCCTGACAAATATTCAATAGATTCTGATGTCTTTTTGAAGAGATCGCTAGATTTTTGACAACCATTTACATGGCTCTCTGATTCCCTCCCGGAGAATTTAAATGTTGAACACTAGACAAGGTAGAGGAAATGGAGGAAGGACACGATTCCACGGAGGAAATATTCAAAGAGGGGAGACTTTATCTAGATAAAAACCGGGAACTTTTGGAGCAGAAGATACTGAATTTGGACGCAGATACATGCCACAGAGATCATGGCTGGAAAGAATATGGGACAAAGTTTAGGGGAACCGACTTCGGAGAAGATCCTAGGGAAAGGATCCAATGCTTAACGGAGAAGTCGAAACACGCCCCCAGGACTTTCTTACAAGCCAACGACACATCTGATCTGAGGTTGTCGGTGGAGGGAAAATCGCTCTATGTGTCTCGCATCCTGCTCTCTATTGTATCACCTGTTCTCAAAGAGATTTTTGACAAACGTTCCAAAGACCAAGCCATTATAGAAATACCGCTACCGGGAAAGAAATACTCGGATATTTTGGAGTTTCTAGAATGCATATATCCAGACAAATTAAAACCAATATCAGGTATATATATATATATTTTTTACTTTTGGAAAATGCATGTGTTATCTTGTCTACTTTAGATATCCACATCGGGGGGGGGGGGGGGCTCTGGGATATGCAAAATCAGTCAGTGTTCTTCATAGTTTTCTTTGGTTCTCATAATTTTGTCAACATTTTTCTTTTAAATTACAGGGTCTATAGTGTAAATTCGAAATGACTTCTAAACATTCATGTGAAATGTCAACAGTAATAGCACTCAACATAATGTATGAGAATTACGTCAATACACCTCTGTTTATTTCTTCGGCTCTTTTAATCTTTTAATGCATTTATATATGGACCTCCAATAAAAGCTCTGTTTAGTCTCATTGTCTAGCTCTATGGAATTCTCAAGAACAACTTTGGTATTTTGACACTACATGTAGTTAAAGAGACCATTTAAATAAGATGTTTTGTCATGTGATTATCTTTACGTTGGTTAATTGTCTGTATTTTTAACGGTTCAGCTATCTTTTCTTTTAATAGCGTTTTGTATACATCTACATTGATAAATTATTCGAGTTTTAATACCAAGATATAATCAATTTATTGTTATACTCTTGTCAAAGTGGGCTTTGCAGCACATATTTGATTTGAGAAGCAAATCAATTCTATCGAAAACTGAAATTGTTATAAAAGCAAGATTTGGTGCGTTTGATAAACTTAAGGTTCTTATCCCGTGGTTCATATCGTACAATTATGGACTCTTTCGACGGTAAATATGATTTGATATTCACCAGAAAAATATCAATATTGACCAGGCGAAGTGTTGAAGAATCAACGCAATCTAGTAAGGCTCATGATTGATTGCGTTGATTCTTAAAAATATTAGTAAAATTCATCAAGCGTGACGTATTATCATCTACTTGGTTAATATATTTTTACAACAAATAAAAACATATTAAGTTAAACGTTTTTATTGTGTGAAACAAGAAAATAATTGATTTGGAGTAAATTAAAAGTACATGTCATGATAAGTTGGAGTACATGATAATATACCTCCATTCAATAATGGAAAAGTCCTGTGCTTTTTTCTATCTCTGATTCACGTATTTTCTATTTACACTATAGTTATAAAAGATATTCTAAAGGTTCATCATACCTCTGTTTATATATGTCATTTCCATTCAAAATCAGTCATATATATATATATATATATATATATATATATATATATATATATATATATATATATATATATATATATATATATATATATATATATATATATATATATATATATCTCAAAGTTTTGTAAGTGTTATGTATCCTTAACTTGACAATTTAATAAAGGAATAATAGTCATTCATTTAGTACTAGTAATATCCCTTAGAGAGTTGATGAACCTTAGGATCTACTTTAATTTTAGCCAAATAACACCAGACATAAATAACATTAACATTTATATATTTGATGATATTATTTTTTTTAAACGGCAATAAATATAATGAAATATGGAGCTAACCAACAGTAATCAAGCTCAAAGTCAATTGAAATAATACAAACCGGGAGTAGAGCAAACAGGGACCTCATAAAACATCAGAGGTGGGATCAGTTGTCATGGAGGAGCAAGCATCCCCTGTCGACCGGTCACACCCGTCGTGTGATCAGTGTCATGATCGGGAAAACGGAGAAATCCGTAGACAATTCAGTATTTAAATAATGGTATAACAATTAGTATGAAAAACGTCAGTCAGCATTCAACTTTATGATAGATTATATTTGCTGACACGATTATTATATCGACCATAGAACCTGCGAAATGATGACTTCAAACGAGACTGTTGATATCCCTCTTTTATCAACTTGTTTGTCAATAGCTTGTCTCGTTTTAAAAAATTGTTCGTACGTGGAGCATGCCCTTTCTGTATCGATACAACTGGGAGATATAACCCCATATGCAGGTGACAAGGGTATATTGCTACATAAGTAAGGGAAGTTGACAATAGAAAAATTGAAGTCATCACGTTTATCATTAAGTTTTGTTGTTAGGTTACCATTAACGCCTTTTTCTAGTAAAATATCCAAATATAAAACAGATGTTTCAGACTCTGTGGTATCTTTTATTTCAAGTTCACCGGTATAAATCGAGTCGACATCTGAATGGAAGTAACTGTTGTTAATTGATAATAATCTACATGTAAATATCGAGTTGAAGGCCACTGCAAATATTTTGTTCTTCTCATGTATAAGTTTTTGAATAAATTCTGCTTCACATGAATACAAAACTAGGTCTCCTGATAACAGGACGCAATTGGAACCCATGGGAATTCCGATAGTTTGTCGATCTCCAAAAACTACATAGATATTGTCAATCAGAAACTCAAGACTCTTTTTAATATCTACTTTACAGTACTTGTGTGTACAATCAGAATGTTTTTTAACAAAATGATTTGCAAATGACCAATGACAATGTAAGTAAATTCACAAGTTCCATTTTTATTGAAAAAGCGGTTTTTATGATGTCAAAAGCCTGGAATTAATTTGATGTCCATGGTATTCTTCGTTGACAAATGTGTGAACCGAATTCAAATCTGAGTGAACCATAATATATAACTGAATCTTAACATTATTGAATATTTGCATTTCAGATGACAATGTTAGTCTAATGCTTCGTATGGCGGACGAGTTCGAAGTGAAAACGCTTCGTGAACGTTGTGTCTCATTCTTAACTCTACAACTCCAAAACAATTGTTCTAGTGATAAAATATTAGAGATTCTCACAATGTCCATTGATTATAATCTAGAAGAACTTCATAAGCTGTCAATAGACATGGCCTCTCGGACCTCTTCGGATAATCTAGAGAATGTCCCAGGATTTTCAGAGCTGTCCGACGACATTACATCTGCCATATTTCATAAACGTTTAAAATTATTCGAAGATGCTGGCAGGAAAATTAGGAAACGACTGAAAGAGGCAGAGACCCATTGTAGCTTGTATCACAAGAATGAGAGATGGGGTGACAATTTGTGTAACAAGTGTTTAGCTGGAGTGGGAAAAGTGTCATCCTATGAGATAGAAAAATTGTTCTAATTGTGTTATTTCGGTAAATATGCATAAATGTTTGTACTATTATTAACTTCCACAAAAAGACAGCGATGACAAATGAATTTGGATTGTTGTAGTTTATTTTATAAATACTAAAGTGAGTACATGTACAAGGAAAAATTAACACCATAAAAAGGGTATACATTACATATAGTTAGATAAATTACAGATTTAGAGTCAGCAGATTCACACTTCGCTGACTTCCACACGTGAAATTTTGTTTGCTACAAGCATGCGATCCAACGGGTTCACAAATACCTGTTTTTAACATCCAGAATGTTAGTTCCAATAAATACATGTACATGAATCATTAGGACGGTGACATTTTAGTAAAATCTTTAAAAGTCTTATCATGATTTTCTTTCTTTCTTATTTTTTTTCGGCATTGTGTACAGGTGTATATAATTAAAATCATATTAAAGTTAAGGAAACTGTTGTTTTCACATTTATTAAAATTTTAGGCAATTTTAAACTAAAAATTGAATTTACAACAATAAAGACAGAAAATTTTGTATTTACCGGGCTGCCCCGTCGGCCTGGCAGCGGGTGCGTCGCCGACAATCCATTGGCAGGCTGGGTCACCAAGCTCCTCCCCATTCGTCTTACCGTCACCATCTGAGTCTTTCATACAGAGATCACGTGTCCAAAGATGGCCAGCTGCCGAAAAGTCCTACAAAGTGTACCGAACATTTTACACATCATTATATTTTTCAAATCCTTTCATTCCAGATACAATAAAAGCCCTTATTATTAATCCTTAAACATTTTCTACGCTCTGGCCTACGTCCTGTGTTCTAGGATTTTACTTTTATTTTTGCAGAGAAGTCTACACTACGAGAGGGACTTGAATGTTGTTTTTCAAACTTTTAAAATCTTCTTTTTTTACCAAAATATTACTGGCAGAGCAAATTATGCCTGTTGTCAACCTGAGACAACTCAAGTTTGTCTTAGATTACCCTACGTATAAATTCTATGACAACATGTGTTGATTCATCTTGCGTATGATTTAAATAATGTTATGAAAAAGTTGATCCAAAATCTGAGACAGAAAATATTCCTTTTTTCGAGCGGTTCGTAAGTGCTCAGATATGAACAGACATTCACACGTCTTTAAAATAAATGTTTGTTTTTTGGTGTGTTTTTTGTTTTGTTTTGTTTGTTTGTTTTGTTTTTGTTCAGATTCCTTGAAATAACCTAATTATTTCATTAATTAATGAAATAATTATTTATTAATTAATACTATTTTCACATAGCATGGACATTGTCAAACTAGGGAAGTATTGTTATAAATTTATAGTAAAATATCACCCAAACGGATTAATATTTTATAGGTTTATTGAACTATACATGAAGCTTTTGTGTATTCGTTTGTCATACTCATGCATACTTCCATTCTAATAAATAATGTTCACACAAAATTCTATAAAAATGACACCATTAAAGAAAAATGACATCATTCAAGAAAATAGTACTGAACAGCTTTATAAAAAAAAGTGAAAATTTTGAAAATAAGAGACAAATGTCCTTTCTGACATATTTCATTTTGTCAAATAAAATCTGCAACATGGACCCAACCCTTACCCCGCGTACAACAACTTCCACGGACATTGTCAGTGCCAACAGTGCTCACCATTTTATTGAGGGTGTTCCTTTCTAAAACACGAGGACGTGTTTTCCCGGAGGCCGAAGGATATTATCACCGAGCAAAATTAACGTTTTTGAAATAAATAACTCTTTAAACATATTTTACTAAATTTGGACATTTATCTGTTAAATTCTCTATCTATTATCATTGTGTGTATATTATTTAGTTGATTGAATCTCATTCTCTTTGAAACAGGATTAAGACATTCCAATTGACTTTAAGTGACGTGTCAAAAGAATTGATACTCGTTAGGTGTAAATGCCTCAGGACCTGTTAGTCTAATATCAATAACTTTGTTTATATAATTATTTAGCAATGTCTTTTATGTCCATTCCATCAAAGAAACACACCTGTCTATCAATTAACTCAGCTAGTGTCATAATTCAATTATTGTTTACTCTCTATCTTACAAAAAGCTATGTCCATTATACCTTCTTCAGTTTGGAGGCCCGATGCTCTACCGGCCACATCCAACTCGGTTAAGACTTGTAAGCTATTATTGAAATTTATGTTGATTGTTATTCACCATCGTCTATAATAAATTCGGAAACTTAATTTTACCAGTTCTTGGACTTTATATTGGAAGACCATAAGGAATACGGCACCTTTCTCGTTTGCATTGTATTACGGCCCCACAGCGCCGCTACTTTTTACCCGCCAACATTCCTTCTTCCCCGTTTACGCTAAACAACGGATATAGTCCAGGAATTACTTTTATAACTTTATAACCAAAATCTAACTGGTTATAATTGGTGGAGAATCCGGGTATCCGAAACCCGGATGAACCATATTGTGGAGTTGAAAGAAAATACAGCCTTTCACCGATATAACTTAAGAAAGTACAGCAAAATGCCTGCTCCATCTAATGCTTCAGCACCGGAGAACTCCGACACCATCGAGGAAGATTACAACCAGGAAGAAGTGAGTTCGTTACAGAGAGAGTTACGAAGTCAACAGGAGGAGATACAACGTCTCCAAGACCGCAGAAACCGAGAGTTAGACGAAAAAGAAGAAGAAATTGAATCCCTAAGGAGACAGTTGAGGGAAGTGTCAACCAGACAACCCCCAATCCCACTCACTTTTGATCCACCCTCTTCTTTAACCAACAGGAATTATCCAACCAACTCTCAGGGAAGCTCATCTTTTCCCAAAGTTAGACTTGAAAAATTCAATGGGAAGGTGTCTGTGGTACAATGGTGGTACAAGTTCATAACCTTTATTAACCTCCAAAAGCTCACAGAGGAAGTCGCCATCAACACCCTCCCCTTTTATCTGGAAGGGGCTGCCGAAAGCTGGTTCTACGCTTTGGACCGCACGGTAAAATCGTCACTAGAGTCTATTCGCAGGGCCTTACATAATCGATTCCAGCCGTCCTCAAGACATAATTTACAACTGATGGATGTTAAACAAAAGGACCAAGAAAGTGTAGAGGACTTTATACACCGAGTGACTAGTATGACCAATGACCGAAGTGTAGACCAGGACTGGCTAATTACAGTCATAATTAATGGACTGAAGCCAGACATAAGTGCGGATGTGGTAAAGGATGACCCTCATTCTTTAGAACAACTGAGGAACTGTGCATGCCGAGCCGAACTTGCCAACAAAATCAGACAGAAAACCTCATCAGTGCAGGACTCAACCAATTTAGCCTTGCTGAATGCTCTACAGGAAGTGAGGACTGACATAAACGCCATACAGGAGTCAGTGAACGATGCCCAATTTTCTCAGCAGGCCCCACCGAGAGAGTCCCAGCCATGGAGGAATAATGGTGGACCCCGTAGGCCTTACCAACAAGGAAATGGTGGAAACCGCTTTCAACAGGGAAATGGTGGAAACCGCTTTCAACAGGGAAATGGTGGCTATCAGCATTCCCAACGGCAGGCTAGACAGGAGACACAATATCAGGGACCCAGATCCAGACATCCTCAGAATAGGCCAAGCAATGGGAGAGGTTCCTGTCACAACTGTTCTGGTGAGTTATGCGATTCTTTCAATTGCAATGCTAAAAAGGTTAATATGTCAAGCTGTTATTTTTGTGGTAAATTGGGTCATTTTAAGAAAACTTGCTCTTCTTACGCACAGCACTTACAGCAACGTTCACGCATAGTAACACACTCAAAATACCACAAGCACACTTCCTCGTTTCAAAACAGTAAACAATAGGGGTGCGCGCCTGTCTTTAGAAAACATTCTAGAGATGGGCACCATGACAACCAGCCACAAGTCAATCTAGTGGCACACATGACAAAGAACACAATTCCACTGCAAGTCGGTGGAAGAAAAACTAGTGCTTTAGTGGATTCTGGTGCTTCTGTTACAATTATGAATTTAGAGTTCTTTAGAAAGACTATTTATGCTCATGATAGGTTGACATCACCTGATTTCCGATCAGTTAAGGGTGCTAGTGGCAAATTGTTACCTGTGGCAGGTAAGTTAGAGATGAAGTTAGATATCAATGGTCAGGATTATAACTTCTCAGTTCATGTGGTAGATGGTTTACACCATGCTTTCATTTTAGGAGTAGATTTCTTGTGTGCAAACAACACAACTCTTAGGTTTTCTGAGACCAATACACTACACATTCCTGATCACAATGGTGATGCAAATGTTTGTTCAATTTCGACCAACAATGGGTATGCCCGTGTAAAATGTGCTATGAAAATTCCCCAAAGGTGTGAAATTAATGTCCCTGTACATATTTCAAGACAAAAATTAGGTGAGCAAGTACTGTTAGAACCTCATGAAGAGTTGCAATCTTTACAATTATCTGGTGCTAAATGCTTGGTAAGTATCAGAGATGATGTGGTTATGAGGTTGATTAATCCTACATTTGAGGATGTGTACTTACCAAAGAATTTTGTAGTAGCTAATGTGTGTGAGGTGCAAACTCGAGAAGTGTATGCCTTAGAAAATGAGACAATGAGTATCAGTGCGTTGAATCCAGACAATTCCAAAGGTCAAAAACCAAGTGAAATTGCATTTGATTTAGAGAATTCCGATTTAGATCCAAATCAAAAAGAGGTTTTACTGAAATTTTTAGCAAAACATCGAAGTAACTTTGCTGTTGACCTCAGTGAACTGGGAAGGACAAGTGCTTACAAACATAAAATTGAAATAAAACCAAATTCAAAGCCTGTTCGCCAACAGTTTTACAGAACATCATCTCAAGCTTCAAAAGAAATTCAAAAACAAATTTCAGAAATGTTAAATCATGGTATTATACAACCATCAAATTCAGAATGGCATTCGCCAGTGGTTTTAGTAAAGAAAAAGAATGGTCAATTTCGGTTTGCTTGTGATTATCGTGCTTTAAACAAAATTACAGTACCCATGTCCTTCCCACTTCCCCATTTGGAAAGTGTTTTTGATGCTATAGGTGAGGCACGAGCAAACTATTTTACTAATTTAGATCTCATGTCTGGATTCTGGCAAATGGAACTGGATGAGGAAAGTAGAGAGAAAGCAGCTTTCATAACAAGAGAAGGAGTGTATGAGTGGAAACGTATGCCATTTGGCCTTACTAATTCCCCCATTTCATTTCAAACACTTATGTCAAATGTGCTGAGAGGGTTAAATTGGAAATCGGTACTTGTCTACGTGGATGATATTTTAATCTTTTCGCGATCCTTTGATGAACATCTGCAACACTTAGAACAAGTGTTTGATCGTCTGAGAGAGGCAAATTTGAAACTGCAGCCATCAAAATGTCACTTTGCCGTCAAAGAAGTTAAGTTCTTAGGGCACATTATATCACGTAAGGGAGTACAAGTAGACCCTGCCAAGACCCGTGCAGTCAGTGAGTTTCCCATTCCCAAGACACAGAAACAGGTACGTAGCTTTCTGGGTATGGCAAACTATTATCGGAAATTTATCCAAGATTTTGCTAAAATTGCTACCCCACTTAATGCCTTGTTATGTAAAGAGAGAAAATTTCAATGGTCTGAATCTTGCCAAAATGCCTTTGATACCCTCAAAGACAAGTTATTATCTGCCCCAATTTTGTCATACCCAGACACATCTAG